CAATATATTTAAAAATAAAACAAAGATATCGAAATAAGCATCCAACTCTCTTCAAATTTCAGACATAAGAACCTTTTTGCTAACACAAGATCTGTCGTGAAGATGATATATATCTGCGAACCTCTTCTGGTACCTCTCCCATAAAGGGTCACAATTTTCAATACTTTTATCTGTCATTCTTTACAACTTTCTATATCTAAAAATTTCTCTCAACCAGAAACCTCAGATGAATATGAAATTAATTTTTTCCATACCACTATTTATATCTGCAACAGAGGAAGTATAAAGATGGAATACTTCGGTCGACTCTATCTGTGGCCTCTCGCACATTTCAACATTTTCTAAAAATTGTCACATGTCTCATAAAAAGTGAAGGAAGTCCATTTCACGTCCCAATATTTATATTATATTTATTTAAGTCCGATGCGAAATGGACAATATTGGCCCATTCCTTGGGAAGCTACTTCACAGAGGGTCAACCATTTGAAGAAGTCTCAATAATACTTTATTGACTTTAGATTTTATATCCATCGAACCAAGCCTTCCCCAAATCCTCATCTATACACTTGTTTACCACTAGTACCGCGTAGACACCTGTCCATCTCTATACCCCCTCATATGCAGGTACACACTCACACGACATGTTTGCCATAAAAACCGGGGGCCGGATATATGCACCTTTAAAACAAAAACAAAAATGTCAGTTAAGAATCTCAGCTCAAGTTAACCACAGATTTAAACACATTCTCACACACACACTCACACCATTCAAAATTCATATTCCGCCATTCAATCAGAGTTGAACCGTTCATCGCTCGTATTTAAATGAAAGAAACCACTAATAAAAAGGAAACCAAAAATGTTGTGTTGTGTTGTTGCCGTTTTATGGCCGTATAAATGGTCTTGACCATACCTGTGTAAACGCACTTAAACGTTTGAGTGCGGTAACGCATAACGCAGCCACGCGCATGCTTATTGAACATTTTTCCCTATTACAGACACAGCCCGGCAGTAAACGGCAATCGGATTATCAGAAATAAACCTCTTGGCAATAAATGAAGCTTTTCTTCAAACCGAGTCTTGCTGATAAGTCCAAGCATTCAGTTATGGTCGTATGCAAAATATGAAATTAGAAATTTATGGCCATAAGTTTTCGTCTTCTTTGCGTCTCACATTTCTTCTTTCTTTCAATTGAAAACAATAAAACAAAGAACAGTTATTTCTGTTTTTCGTTCCGTTTCTCTGTAAACTTCCCTTGCCCGTTTGGTTGGTTGGTGGTTCCCATTCTTTAACCACTCTTCGCCCTACTCTTTTTTTCCTCTCGAACACTCAATCTTTTCCGTTCCGTTTGTGAAATACTTGTATTGTTGTTGTTGTTGCTATTCAATATCAAAGTTCTTTCCTTTGTTATCCATTGATAAATGGCGTTCTTTTATTTATTTATTTATAGACAAATAGACGGACAAACTCTCACTCACACACACACAAATGTTGTTGAAACAAACCTCAACAGAACCGGCTTCTAAGCGAACGCTTTGAAAAAAAGTGGTGATTATTTAAATTGGCCAGAGGTGTTTTTCTGCTAACCACCTGATAATGAATGTTAAACGCTTGAAGAAAAACCCAAATAGGCGTTGATTTGATTGAATCATAAAAAAGAAAAATATGCGCGTTTAATTGCCGAAAAAAACGTAGAATGTTGTACGCGGTCAAGAACTGGGTCATGTGTGGATTGAAATACTTTTCGCCGAAAAAAAAATAGAGAAAATGACAGAAACATATTTACCAGGGAGGAAAGAGGGAAATCACGCATCCAACTCATGGGACATATTTGGTTTGGCTGGCTTTTATCGAATTTGATGTGAGAATAATTACGAAATCTGCTGAGTGGCGAGCAACGTTTTTTTTTCACTAAATAGGTGTTTAGGATAACCCATGGCAGAAGAATTTATTCAAATTTGTAAAAATTGTTAAAAAAATGTGTATCATAACAACTTTCGATTGGCATATACAAATTTACTTATTTTTTGAAAAACATTTAAACATTTTTTGACATATCAATGTTGCCAAGCGTTGATGCATCTACCTGTATTCTTCTACCATGGGATAACCCAATTTTTGCAAACTGTTACTGAAAGTTGTCTGTTTTTCGCAAAAGTTCTGCGAGAGAAGGAGTTTGAGAGAGAAATTCGGACAGTTATTTGTCTTGTCAGACAAATAGAGCATTTTTATTTTGGAACTGGCAAACCTAATTATTTGATGTGTTGAAGGACAATGTTACAAACTCGGAAATGCTTCCCTCTTTACTCATTTTAATACCCTCAGCCATATGGCTATAGAGGGTATAAATCACGGCCCAAAATTACCTCATCGAAATAACTGTTTTAGACCCTAGGTCTCTTTGGACCAAATCCGTTTCAGGACATTTGGAGTCGATCCAGATTTGGAGTCGACAGTCCGTCCGACTGTCTGACTAGATGGTCCGCACAATAACTCTCGAAGGGTATATCGCAATATTATTGTTAAAATTCCATCGGTCCACTCCTTCTGGAATCTCCCCCACAAAATGTCAACATTTTCAAGGAAACTAATATGCTGTACAGAAAAAGAAAGTGAACAATATCGGTCCTCTCTATCAAATATCCTCCCCCACAATGGGTCAAAATTTAGAATAATTATAACTCTTAAATTATATGTGATGTCCGATTGTCTTCAAGTTACACAATATTTTTATTAACCCAAGGTCTGGTGTGAAGTTGGAATATATTGGTCCACTGCTTCTGGTATCTCCTCCGCAAAGGGTCAAAATTTTGAATATTCATGAAGCTTATAAAAACCGAAAATAACATCCGATTCTATTCAGACTTGACACGTCTCAATATCTTCACCAGCACAAGATCTGTTTTTAAGATAGTAAAGATTCGACCATCCCTTATCGTACCTCCCCCACAAAGGGTTAAAATTTTGAATAACCAAAACTGTTCTCCGTGCGGTTCTCTTTAAATTACACATATCACAATATTTTTACTAACCCATAGTCTGGTGTGAAGATGGGATATATCGATTCACTCCTTCTGGTACCTCCCCTACAAAGGGTCAAAATTTTGGAGAAAATTGAACATCCGATTCCATTCAGACTTGGCACATGTCAATATTTCTATCAACACAAGATAAGTTAGAAAGCTGGTAGAAATCGGAAAATTTCTTGTGGTACCTCCCCCACATAGGGTTCAAGATTTTGGAAAACAAAACTCCCAAAAAAGCGAAATAAGTATCCAACTCTCTTCAAATATTTTTGCTAACACAAGATCTGTTGTGAAGATTATATATATCAGCGAACCCCTTCTGGTATCTCACCCACAAAGTGTCACAATTTTCAATACTTTTATCTGCCATAGCTTGCTAAACAAGTCAGCGATTCTTTACAACTTGCCGTAATTTCGGCCGGGTCGAACTTTGAATACCCTCCACCATTTCGAACGAATTTGTTAAAATATTTAAAATACCGAATGTAGCTGTTATATTAGGGTCTATACGACGACGTGGATCTGCATCATAAAAATCATCAAAATAACGAATATAGGGAGGTAATTTTATATGGAGGCTATACCAAAGGAGCTATACAAAAAGACAATTTTCTGTCATAGGCTGCAGAACCCATTACAAATTTCAAATACCATATTTGAGGCAATTCCGGTGAATAATGTCGATAAAATCATCAAAACACCGAATATGGGAAGGTACCGTTATATGGGGGCTATACCAAAACGTTGACCTACATGACCCATTTTCAATACCAAAAGTCCTGCAAACATAATACACATTTGAGTACAATTTTATCAACCTACTTCATTTCGTTCGGAAGCTAGAGTGATTTTAATAGACGGATAGACGGACAGACTAAATCGTCATAGAATTTTATGCTGATCAGACATTTCGAGGTGTTACAAACGGAATGGCAAACTTAATATACCCTCCATACTATGGTGGAGGGTATAAAAAATTTTAAAAGTGAAGTTACGAACTACGAATTTAACTTTATTACAATAAAGAGCACAGCATCCTCACTTTTTGAGGTAAAAATAAAAAAAGTGGCTTTCAATACAAACTGCATGAAATTAATAAAAACGGACTATCCAGTTTTTGAAAAAAAAAAAAAACACAAAACTAATCTTGACATGGATTCTTTAAATTCCTGCTGCGTTGGACTTGAACTTCTTCTGGCCAAGTCAGAGAATGAATCTGGTTATCCCCATTATACCGAAATCATTTGTCAACTGGAACATATCTGCCACCAACTCGACAACGACAAGCCATTGAAATAAATCTCATCTGTTAATTTCTTGCTCCTCTTGCTACGACTGACTTCTTTGTGGCCTGTCAGTCAGTTGGCCAGCCGGCAAATAATGTGACTCAAATTAAGTTCAAACGGAATAAAACAAGATTTCATTATAGCATTGCAAGCTTGTTTGAAGTTTAACAAGTTATTAGGTGAACTGTGTCTGGTGGAATTTGTGCAGTGATCCTCGGATAACTGGACATTGGCTTTATATTATTAAAACGTTTAGCCTTAAATTATTTCATACGGATAAACTTGTATAAAATAATGATGAAAAATGTATGGCGGCACTGTGTAAATTTTCGATTTACACTAAAAGTCCAAAACAGAATTTTCAACAAACAAAAATAGAAAAATAATTTTAATCGCATAATTTCACTGTATTACAAACACAGTACCTGAGCGCCATCTAGTGTCATGTACAATGCAAATTTAAAATTTGTCAGTTGAATATCTAATCTTGAGGCTGCTCAAAAACTTAATCAAAAATGTGCAATACAACTTTTTCAAAAAGTACCTATTTTATTTTGGACCACTGTTGCCCAGAGAAATCCCCCAAACTCGCTCCAGCCAGACGTGTTAAAAAAGCATTTAATAGCATTTATTGTTTTATTATTTCATTTGTGTTATTTTTAATTTAATTTCTTGTAACTTTTTACAGCTTTCATTTTATCGCTTCAACATTTTTTGTAAAAACAAAAAATAAACTAACATAAAATACAAGTGCAAACATATGCTCGTTCAAACATAAACAGCAATCATACATACCTACATACAAACATACATATGTACCAACCAACGTATTTATAATCAACTTACAACACCTGCCCCGCCAGACCAAAAATCAGCCCATTTGACAAAAAGAAACTCGAAAGCAAAAATGATGAGCCACAACAGACAAAGATGATGGGGCTACGCCGCGCAACATTTCATAAAACAACAACAACACCAATTATAAGAAAATAAAACTAGACTGACTTAGAACTACATTCGATGCTCCAAAAAACAAAATTTTTTAAAAGCGAATAAAAAAGAATTACAGCTACTTAATACGAAGCCAAGCAGAGCAGCAGCAAACAAACAACATATCCAGCGAAGAAAGTAAGCCACCACCACCATCACCATTACTTTCGACAGAAAGGAGGCAAGAAAGAAAGAAAACGCAACAAAATTTTGATTCTTAGCCTTTTGTTGAGCATTTCGTAAATACATACCCCCGGCCGCCCCTCATCAACATAGCATTGGCATTTGGCCACCAACCTGCATCAAACCACCTCCATCACTCTATCACTGCCTTCCATTTGTCATCGAACAATAAAATATTAATAATCGCGCAATGAATTGTGAAAAACAGAGTGAGACGTTCAAAAGCGCTGGCAGCGGCGGAACGGATGGCATAACAAGCTTTTGGAACCAGCACATTATGGAGCGCTTTATAAAAGCGAATCTTTTCGTTATATGCTGTGTTGCAGCCGGTTTACTATTGGTAAGTTGCATTCGGAACATGATGACAGCGGAAATAATTCGATTCTTAATTATTACAAATTATATCTGTATTAAAACTGCTGAGAGGGCCGAACTTTTAATACCCCCCACATTTGGGTAAAAAACACTTTTATATAAAATATCTAAATTCAAACACGTTCCACTTTAAACTACAAATACCAGTAAGACCGTTTGGATAATACTGTTAAACTTTTCCAAAAAAAAAAAAAAAACATAAACGTGGGTGAAGATGTTATATGGAGGCTATACCGAAACGGGAACCTCTACAGACCATTTAATACTTAAAAGATTGCCATCTACCAAATCTTCTTAAATACCCAATTTGAAACAATTCCGTGGGTAAATGTGACTAGGACTTACAAAATACCGAATTTCGTGGGTATCGTTATAGTGCGCTATAGGAAAACGTAGAGCCTGGTAAACATTACCATCGTTCTCCACTAATAAACAAACGTTGTTTTTATAAAAACAACAATAAAGGGATTAAGCCTGACCATTTTGCAACAACAAAATACTATGGTATTCCGAACAAACAAGCCAACACTGTTCTGTAGTGCTAAATATTAAATCTTCTGCCATGAACTAAATATACCAATTTTTAGAAAAATTCGGGGAAATATGTGGCAAAAATCATCAAAATACTGAATATCTGGAGGTCCCATTATGTGGGGGCTATACGTAAACGTGGACCTATATATATTATGTTTTTAGACAAGTCCATAAAAAAATATTGCAAAAATCAAACTACCAAATATCGGGAGGTACAATTATGTGACTATATCAAATCGTGGACCGATATATCTCATTTACATCCTAGACACAATACAAATTGTTCTGCCAAATTTTGAAGCTCTATGTCAAATAATGTGGGCTCTAACGTGATTTCAACAGACAGACAGAGGGGGCATGGTTAAATGGACTTAGAATTTTATGCTGAATATGAATGTACATACTTTATGGGGTCTACAACAAATATTTAGGGATGTTACAACCGGAATGCCAAAGTTAATATACCCTCCTTTTTAAGGTTGAGGGTATAACAAGGAAAAAAGCAACTAAGTTAGCTAACTCCACCATTTGGAAAGAACTTGAAAAATTTCAAAGAATTCCGAAAAGTACCATGTAAATGATGACCTTTATACGGGGGCTACACGAAGACGTGGACCAGCATAAGTAATTTTTTGTCATAGGCTGTAGTACCCATTAAGATCTTTAAATACGAATTTTGAAACAATTTCGGTGAATAATGTCGCTAAAATCATTAAAATAGCGAATTAAGGAAGGTACCGTTATTTGGGAGCTATACGATGACGTGGACCCACATACGAACATTTTAAGCATAGGCTGTAGTACCCATTAGAAACTTCGAATACGAAATTTGAAACAATTAGGATAAATAATGTCGCTAAAACCATCAAAATGCCGAATATCGGGAGGTACCGTTATATGGGGCTATACGAAAACATGGACCGATGTGACCCCATTTCCGAACTTAACCTGCATACTAGTTAATACACATGTGTGCAAAATTTCAGGGTTCCTATTTCAATTCTTTCGAAAGGACAGACAGACGGACAGACAAAGAGACAGACATCTCTAAATCGTCTTAAAATTTTACGCTGAGCCATAATATTTACACTTTTTTTTTAATTTTATTGAATGAAAGCAAATAAAGTCGAAAATAGCATCAAATTTTAGAATAAGTTTAGATTTGTTCGAATTGGTCACCTTTGGCACGAATTATGGCCTTTAAACGGCCAATGAAACCGTCACACACTGCCCGAATGTTGCTTTGTGGTATTTTGGCCCATTCACGGCGAAGCGCTTGCTTGAGGTGATATTTTTAGTGCCAACCTTGCTTTCCAAAATACTCCAGACACAATAGTCCAACGGATTGGTATTCGGAGATTTTGGTGGGCATTGTGCCCTGGAAATGAAGCGATGAACCTCATTTTGTAACCATTATTGGGTGGCGCGTGCTGAGTGTCTCACTCAGCTGAGCTCTGTTGGAATGTCCAAGGTCTGCGGCCAAAATGTTTGCGTGCCCAAGGCATTGATACACCCTCCAGAATATTTTCGCGATGCCACCGTCGATTAATACGAGCTGAGAGCCACCATAGGCTGTTATGGCGGCCCACACCACCACCATGGCCGGCGCTTGAGTTCTGGTGACCAACCGAAGGTGCACATTTTCAGCTGACCTCTTTGGCAAGTATACACGATAATTTTGTTTGCTTACAAACTGCTGGACAACGAATGTATCCTCACTTTCGACCAAGCGAAGCAACTCTTTAGCTCTTTTGAGTCTATTTTCTTTCCGTTGCGGTTTAAGTTCTTTCACTTTTTGGAATTTCAATGGCTTTACCCCGAGCTCATTTGTCAATATTTGCCGATGGGACATTGCGATATGTTCAGCTCACGAACCATTTTTCGGCCACTGCGACGCGAGTTTCGATCAAAGCGACTTCTTTACTTTTTGCACCATTTCTGCTGATGTAGCTGATTTCTTCCGTCCACATCCTTGACGTCGGGCTACGCTACCCTCGGTCCCACGGTGACGAACAATGGTACGAGACACAAAAGATTTATTCACATTTAAATGCTGGAGTGTTCTAAAGATAGCCACTTGTGGTTTTCCAGCCAAATATAAAGAAATCACACTATCACGCTTGAATTCCATCACGAATAATTTTTTTCCTGCAAAATTCTCACCAAAATGCTTTTGCACGCTTGTAAACAATTTAATGAGCTGTCACTGGAATAATTTTAACAGCTGTCGGACGAATGGCTTACAAATGATAGCAGTCTGAAGTTGCTTGCAGTTTTTTCATCTCACCCTGTATATACTTTGTAGGGTCTAACATGAATATTTCGATGAGTTACAGACGGAATGACAAAGCTAGGATGGTATATATCCATAAAATGGTAGAGGACATAAAAATAAACCACGAGAAAGAATACAAAACTGAAATTATAAATATTTTTCAATGCCTATTTCGAAACTATTTGATTTTATTTGGCAGGGTGATTTAAAAATTAAATAAAAAATACAAAAAATACATGTACTATATTCTTACCAATTTCAATGGGGTTCGTCCTTGGTCCTAACAAATGATTTGTGCAAAATTATATCTCGATCGGCAAAAAATGCGATCTTTGTAATTTGTTTATAAAATACATGGACGGACTCACAACGATTGGTCCGTAGATTGAATCACCATTGTTTTCTGTTTTTGTCCACTTCATATTTGAATATTTTGTCCTGAAAATTTTGCGAATATCCCTCTAATCTGTTCTTTCTTTCCCTGTTTAAATCAACTTAACCCATCTGAGATACATATTTATTTTGTTTTTTTTTTTATATCATGAAAAATTTGATTTTTTACAACTTCTCCTATCATTTTTTTCAGATTGTCTACTTAGGTGCCTTTTCCTGTGAGGTATCGTGGATTTTGGAGGCCCGAGGAGACTTGCCCTATGCCGCATATGTCCTATGCACACAATATTTCATTGTCTTTGTGGCCACAACGATACTCATTCACGGTCTAGTGACGGGCCTGCCATGGGGTCTATTTGCATGGTCGGTGATCATTGGAATTCTATCAATACCTGAATTGATATTTGTTATGATTATGACAACACAACATTGGGTAAGTTGATTCAATTCGAAAATATATATTGCAACAACACCAGAAAATATTTCAATTATCTCCAAATGTTTTAGGGTTTGCAATCGGTGCACGGCCTAACGGAGTTAATAGCCTACCTCATTCGTTTGGTTATAAATTGTTTCGCTTTAATTTGCGTGATTCCCACTGGCCTAAGGTATGTACGAAAAAAAAAACACAACAGCAAGCAAAAATATGTTGTAGAAATTATTACACCAATCCAAAAAAACAGCGAATGAGAAAATGGAAATGAAAGAAACGTAAAAACTGCTGCTGCTACCAATGTATCCGCAGCAACTGATGATAATTTGTATCAATAATTCACCATATCCACATGGAGCGATGGTTTGGCCATTAAATTATTCCACTTTCATTTGTTTGCCCCAGGGATGCTACTTACTAACATAACAATAAATTAATGGATTATAACCATGTCTCCGGGCAAGTTATGGTACAAAACCAATGATTACATATGCGACCTTCAAGGGAACACCGACACATCTCTAGAGTTCATATAATTTTCAAGAAGAAAATTAATTCTCAATCACTTCATTAACATGCCATAAATTTCTGTCTCTTCAATAGATGGCGGCGCGAATCACAAGTCCTTACACAGTTGCAAGATTTGGCAACACGCCTGCAATTACAGACACCGCCACCTAGCGTGCCGATGCTGACATCAAAATCGGACTCAAGACGTTCGAGTAAGCGCATACAAAATCAACAGAGTACCTTTGAAAATTCCGGCTATCAAGTGACCGAGGTGAGCAAACCAGTCAATGGTGGCGGCTCACAACCGCAAGGATTAAATGTGTTTGGATCACAGAATGAGTTCAACGCCAGCATGTTTGCCTTGCCGTTTATCCAGCAACAATTCAATCCAGCAAGCGGAATTAATCGGAATGGTAAGTTAAATGCTATAATTGAAGCAATCCAATAGTGTTTTCAAATGAAATTTTCTACTTCATTTCTCGGTTCTCATTTTCAGGCAATCGCACCCAATCATTAATGGATCTACGTTGTACCCTGCCGGGCCTGTACAATCCCCGCTATGTTATAGAGAACAGCGATGAAAAGAACGGCAAATATTTCAACATAACAATTGATGATTTGAAAAATAATCTACAAGATTCCCACAAACAGCCAGCTTCCCTGGTGGGCTCCTCGTCCAACGATCCAATTTATTGCTCCATTGAACCCAAGCAGCCGTCACCGCCAACACAACCACGCGGACAAAGAGAACCCATGGCATTGCCGGGACAACAGCAACCACCCACTAAGCTGGCCCGTAACTGTATATCCTTGGAGAATCTGGAGGGTATAAACAAGGTTCAAAGCGATTTAGCCGCCTATGGTCACAATCTGCTGCAAAACTATAATCAGCAACAACAGTACTACTTAGCCATGCTGGGGTACCTGCAAGAGCACCAACAACACTCGGCCCAATTCGCCATGAATGGTGGTATTTATCGCCGACCGGGCAGTCAGACCAGTCTCAATCCACAAGTGTTGGCAGGCAATGCAGCAATGCCGCAACAATTCCAGCGACGCAATTCCCAACAACTACAATACTACGGCGGTTTCGGCTATGCCAACTACACAAACCCCTACATAACAGCGAATTCGAAATTGTCTTTGGGCAATGAGTCGGATGATTATCGCAAGTATCGCGATGTGGCTTTGTAGGCCACATCCCTTCCAGAAGTTCTAGTTTAAGGCAATTGTAAGTTTAGTTTTCATTATTGTTTTGTTACACCTTGAAGGTGCTCAGCTATTTCCACGAATAATAAATAGTAGAAGTGTCAAGTCATCGCGTAAAAATAGTTCGAAAATAAGGAAAGACATTTTTTTATAGTTAAGATTTAGCCAAAGATCGATAAACCCAACTAACTCAAGTGAAATACCAACTATAGGCTATTTTGAAATTACGATCCACAAGTAAGCTAATGGCAGTTTTGTTTGCTTTTGTTTATTCGACTAAGAAGACTAAGAATAAACGTCCAGTGCAATTGATTTTTTTTTTTTTTTTTAATTTTGTGAAACAATTGATATTTATTTATATATTTTTATATTTTTTAGTAATAATAGTTCTATAGAGTTAAGTTTTATATAAAGAACAAACACAACGATTTTTGCTTTTGTAATATAACTATTCCATACGCTCCATATTTCTAAGATCAATTCAATGTAAATACAAAAAAAAAAGAAACAAATAACTAAAAACTCTCTATTAAATATAAAAAAATATTCGTTATACGAATTTTGAATGCACTTTCGCCTTTAAATGGTTTGTAGGTCTGTTATAAAAGATCAGCTAAGGGATTATCGGCTATGGGCGTCTTTGTCGATTGTTTTGTTTCGGCGGCGTGTTTGGTGACAACTTGAGTTGCTGCAGAACTGGGATTTTTCTTTGCTGCTCAAAAATAAAAAGATATGCCAATACAATTTATTAGAATATAATTAAATTGAGGATTCAATCACAGACTACTTACCTAGGGGTGTGCTCTTAAACAGATCATTGTCGTCATCATCACTATCGATGTCACTAAAAATACTGCTGGAATGTGTCGTTGCTTTTGGTTTACTTTTCGATAGTGGAAGTTTGGTGCTTGGCTTTAAGAAATCTTCATCGTCGTCACTGTCATCACTGAAGAGAGACGAATGTTTATTGGAATTGGATGCAATCGTTTGAGTTGCGGTCATTTTTGGTGGTGGCTCACTGACACTATGTTTTACTTTTTGCGTTGCAGGGCTAGGTAAATTCGCTTGTTTCGATGAAACTAACTTAGCAAAGAAATCGCTTTCGCTTTCAGAATCGGAGTCGGTGAAAAGTGATTTTGAACTAGGTTTAGTAATTTCTTTACTTGCTGAGGAGGACAGGTTTGATGGTGTTTTTGCTGCAATGGATGTCATTGGTGTTGTTAAAGGATTTTGATTGTCTTTGGAAGTAACTAAAGGATTTGCAGGCGATTTGGTATTTGTTGTATTTATCTCGGCAGACACTGAAGGTTTATTGGAAACTGTAGTTATGGAACCCGCCGATGTTAAGGTGGCTGACATTCCCACCGTTGTATTTTTGGGGTTATTTCCAACATTTTTACTAACGATATTTTTAAATAAATCAATGTCGTCTGCTTCCTCATCATCTCCATCGAGAAAACTAAGCGCGGAAACTTTCTGTGCTTCTTTTTTCACAGCTTCTTTCTCAATCTCAAGACCTTTTGTATTATGTATAGAAATATCTTTATTTTCAGGACCCTCGGGAGGTTTTGCATGAACCATTGAATTTTTATGTGTTTCCGTCATATTATTTTCATCGGTTTGGTCATCTATTAGATTCTCCTCCAATAACGATTTTCGAATATTTTCTTGTCTTGCTTTTCGAGTTGAGGGCCTGCGATTTAGAGGGGCCCTTACACGATTTTTATTAACATTGGGTAGAATATGATCTTTTTGGATACTTGGGGAACCATCGTGATTGGCTTTCGTTTCAATTGGTGTCGATGGAGGCATATGTTGTTCACTTTCTTCTCTTTGCTTTTGCATTACTTTTGAGGAATTAGTCTTGCCAACACCACCAGGTAACAGAGCCTGGACATTTATATTGAAATTGGGCATTTGAAGTTTTGAAATTGGACGATAATTAAATGATTTTACATTAGTCACATTTTCATCTGACACTGTCTTGGCAATCATCACTTCTTTATCTGAAATTCTGGTTAGATTTTCGACAACCGTTTTTTCGTTATCTTTCTGGGAAGTGATCGATTTCTCACTAATCACATTCGCATCGCTCTCATTTTCAATACCCACATAGTTTCCTTCTATGTCCGCTGGAGCTTCATGCTTTTTAACAAGAGTAGATTCATCCTTGATGTGCTTGTCAACACTGGGTGGTTCCTCATCAAACACTGGATGTAAATAAGTCGAAGGTCTATTTTGGTTGCGATCTATAGCCTGAATAGTTTCATTGAAATCATCATAAAATACACTGCTGAGTTTTTTCGTAGTGCCTATTTCTTTTGTGTCCCGCTGCTCAATAACGTCTTCAAAATCATTGTCTTCAGGTGGTATATCGCTAAACAGTTGTAATCCTTTATATTCCGAAACCTTATCGGCTGGTGCTGTTACAGTTTTGGACATTTCAGGTTCAGAATACAAATCGTGATCTAAATCGAAGCCACCAAATTTCACACTAGGATTTTGAGAGGACTTTCCCAGAGATTCAAAGAAATCATTGTCATCAGGTGGCTCATCAAAAAGCAGGCTTGAATCGAAGTTGTATGTCTTAGTGCTGGAAGATGTTACTACTTCCGGTGGCACCGTCAAACCTTCATCGGAAACTGGTTCATTAGCATTTTGTTCCAACTGATTATTATCGTTTTTGATCTCAGGAGTTTTCTTAATAAAACCATCACTACATGGTATATCAATATGAGGTGGATCTTCAAAAACATTGCCAACTGTATCCTCTGGAACATTTGAATTTCTACCACTTTCTTTTGCAAGATTGAACGATTGAACCAAAGATTCTTCTTTCTCTTTATTTTCTGAGGCAGTGGAAAACAGATCAGGCTTATAGTTTTCTTCACCGACGTTTGCATCAATAGACACAGTCTTATCAGCCTCATCCGGATTAGTAACGTTATCATCATTGCCATCGAACAAATTTGTAATTTTTGCGGCGAGTGGTGTAGTAACTTTGCTTGTATCCGTATGTTGTTTTTCTTTATCTGTCAGAACCTTATGTTCTACTACGTTGTTACTTAAAGGCGGGACATCCTCCTCCTGTACTACGCTAGACTTTCTTGGCAAAGGAGATGGTATTATAAGATCATCGTCAAAAATACTTTTCTTTCCTTCCGAAGCATTTTTCTGCTGTACGGTTGGATCATGTAATGCAACAACTTTATCAAATAAGTTCTCCGTTTTCAAATTATTTGATTGATGTTTATGAGTATCCTCATGGGTGTCTTCCAAAGTATCTCTGGATAGTTTTGGAGATGGTATTATACTTTCATTGTCTTTATTTTGCTCATTCACGTCTCCAGGGAGGGGTTTAAGGGCAGCTTGATGATGGACTTCTTTAATATCAGATGATTTCTCTTGAACTTCATTGGATTTTTCAGAAATTTCAACATTTTTTTCAGTTTCTTTGGGATTTTCTATGCTTGGAGATATTGTCTTCTCCTTCACATCATCCTCAAATAGGTCAATTGCCTTAATCTTGGTTTCAAATGCAGGAGTTGTAGTGACATCACCAGGTGTTTGTTTGCTTTGAGCAATGCTCGATATTTCTGTCTTCTTTTCAAGTTTATCCAGACCAGCTGAAAATATTCTCGGTTTGACTTTGAAAAGGTTATCCTCGTCTTCATCTTCATCATCATCGAACAGATTTGTGGTTTTTAAACTACTGAAAATGCTTGGCTTTGTAATAATATCTTGTTTTTCGCTTCCCTTTATCGGCCCGGTTTTGAATTGGACATCATCCTCTTCATCGTTGCTATCTTCAAATAGGTTTATATGACGTTTTTTATTTTCAGTTTTGTCTTTAACACCAACAAACTTATTTATTTCAGGGGATGGTTTTTTCAAACTTTCCGTGGCAAGCGTTGGTTGTGACTCTAATTTCGAAGGTGTATCTTTTCGAACAAAAGCACTTAAGAAATCGTCATCATCGTCTTCATCATCAAATAAATTAATATGACGATTTGCTGGAGAAGCTGTAGACTGTGTTTTATTATTTTGCTTCACTGCAGTAACGGCGCTTCGGGGAGTATCTGTTTTATGGAATAGCTTATCTTGGAGTTCATCAACAAAAACTGGTTTAGGAATTTCATATGTTTTGGGTTTAGCAATGCTTTGTTGGTCCACTGTGGGCTTTTTCTCTCCAGTAAAACTGGCTTTTCTTTCAGTAGTTGCTACTGGCTCGTTGCGTATGCTTCCGGCAATACTTAAATGTTTGTATACCTCATCATCGTCATCGTTAAAAAGATTAACAGTCTTACGGGAAATGCTTGAGGAGGGAGTCGACTGCACATCTTCGGGAGGCTCTGAAAATAAATCTGTGTATGGCGGTATATTCGATTGAAATGGTCGAGGTTTCGGTAAAGTTGTGACCTTTGTTGCATTTGACTCTTGCAAACTTGGATTTTTAGAATTTGTAGAACTGCTACTTTCAGAACGTTTAACATTGTTAGTGGGCGTGTGGAAGTTGATTATTTTCGCACTCGACGATTGAGCAGAGCTTGATTCACTAAATGACTGGGAGTTCGATGTTTTAGGAGGTATTAAGGCTGATGAGGCGTTTCTGACTTCAAAATTGCCACCAAAAGTATTGTTGCTTGCCGAGAAACTTGAAGCACATTCGGAATTTGTCTCGTAGGAATCATCATTGTCAGCTGCAGCCGACAAGGATGATTCCGAGAATGCATCAGATGCCTCATCTCCAGAATAAGAGGATTCACGCTGTTCGTATTGAAGGCCAACATGTGATGACATATGCCAATCTTTCGAACCAAAGATGTGTGGCAAAGGTCTTTCATTGTATGGATTCACGGGTTGAAAAATACAACTGCAAAGCCCGAAAACCATAAATGATAAGCAGTTTATTGTTAAGTGAATACTAGAGACTTACGTCTTTTCACGCTTTCCCTCGTCGACGTCATCATCATCATCATCTGAATCATATACATCTATTGAATATTTTTCGTAAATACGCAATAACTTTAGATTGTTATCCAAAAAGGCAGCAAAAGTTTCTTTTGCACTTGGTTTATCCAACTTCTAAAAAGAATTTTGAATGTTATTTTTCATAACATGCACTTATTCATTTCGTTTTAAAATCGTTGTCTATACCAAAGAAGACACAGTTGTAAAACTTACATCAACGCCATTTGTGGGCTGTAGATTATTCCCACTGGGTGAAGCCGTTTCATCATCATCTTCTACCCGACATTCTACAAACTGGTTGCCATATTGAAGCGCCGTCAAACTGTTGGTTACATTATCCAGAGCATTGTGGGTATATTTTACATTATTATTGAGGCGATCGAAATTTTCTGTAGTTCGAGAAGCTCTAGCATGCAAATTCTAAAAAGAAATATGATTCCGATTGGATAGTATTCCTATTGCTATTACATTCCTATTAGCCTCGCGGCATCTTATGTTTTGTACAAACAATTTTGCAATCGTTATCAATTTTCAAAACACATTATTATAACCTGTGATATTTTATTCATCCACTGCAATAACTGATAATCTCCTGCAAATGTCCAATCGCCAGCTTGATCCAATATTGAGTCTAGATTTACATCCGATGTGTCTGGCTCCATGTTTCTCTTTTGAATGATTCTTTCTTACGTTCTTGGGTTGTTGATATGTTTATTCGCTCATTGAGATTATTCCAAACCAATGTTCGTTGCAAATTACACAATCTCACCAAGTATAAACTATTAAACTTTTAAAAAGTGCATAAATATAAGAAATATTTAGGAAAATCGCGTCGTTTGATTCAATAATAAAGTAATAAACAAAACATAATCGATAAAGATATAGAGTTTTAAAGATCGAAAAATACTTTGGACCAGCTGAGTGCTAGGGACTTTTAAATCAACGACAACAGTACCGTAGGCAAATTAAAATATAGACAATGAAATACTCTCAACGCTTATCATAGAAAATATTTGAATCAGACAACGAAAAGTAGTTGTCTACATGTTTATTTTTTCCATTTGTCAATTAGGATTATTTCGGTTCAGAGTTTCGCGCGGACTTTTGAAGCATGCTTTGTTTTTTCCGCCGGTTATGGTTCGGTTCTGTTCAGTGTTATGCATAAATACATTACTATCCAGTCCAGCACACAAACTGCTTGTCAAAATTCATTGCACTAGTCGTGAGTTAACAAAAAAAAAAAACTGCAACAAAGTCAAGCGCCATAATTTTTATTTTTTTTAATTTTATTAAATGAAAGAAAAAATGTCGAAAATAGCATTAAATTTTAGAATAAGTTTAAATTTATTCGAATTGGTCACTTTTGGCACGAATTTTGGCCTTTAAACGGCCAGTGAAACCGTTACACGCTGCCCGACACTTTGGTATTTTGTAGTGCCAACCTTGCTTTCCAAAATACTCCAGACACAATATTCCAACGGAAAGGTATCCGGAGAATTTGGTAGCCATTGTGTGCTGGAAATGAAGCAAGCAACCTCATTTTGTAACCATTCTTGGGTGGCGCGTGCTGAGTGTCTCACTCAGCTGAGCTCTGTTGGAATGTCCAAGGTCTGCGGCCAAAATTTTTGCATGCCCAAGGCTTTAATACGCCCATCAGAATATTTTCGCGATAATATTCGATTAATACGAGCGGAGAGCGACCATCGTCTGTTATGGCGGCCCACACCATCATCATGACTGGCGCTTGAGTTCTGGTGGCCAACCTAAGGTACACATTTTCAGCTGACCTCTTTGGCAAGTAAACACGATAATTTTGTTTGTTTACAAACTGCTGGACAGCAAATGTTTTCTCATCGGAGAAAACCGAATTCGGCAGTTCACCACTTTCGGCCAAGCGAAACAACTCTTTAGCTCTTTCTTTTGTGGTGTAAGTTCTTGCACTTTTTGGAGTTTCAATGACTTTACCCCGAGCTTATTTTTTAATATTTGCCAGCTCACGAGCCATTTTTCGGCCACGGCGACTCGGGTTTCAATCAAGTCGCTTCTTTACTTTTCGAACCATTTCTGTTGATGTTGCTGTTTTCTTCCATCCACATTATTCACGTCGGGCTACGCTACACCCACGGTCGCACGGTAATGGTAAATTCTCACCTAAATGCTTTTGTACGCTTGTAAACAATATAAAGAGCTGTCACTGGAATAATTTTAACAGTTGTCGGACAAGTGGTATAGAAATGACAGCAGTCTGAAATTGGTTGCAATTTTTTCATCTCGGCCTGTATATGTTTAAAATTAGGGAACTAATAAAAAATAATAATACGTTGTCTACGTTCCGACACAAATTCCCAATTTTGGTGAACCGAACCATTTTTTTAAGTTTAAAAACGGATTTTGGTGCGGCTTAAAAGTTTGGTTTACGGTTCGGTTCATTTATAGAGCATGTATTAGAATATGTGATTCGAACATTTTATAATTGTACTAATGATTAGCAACTAATCTAATGTGGCGTTTCCACTGCACTTGATTCGCTCTCTATTCGTTGTTTGGCCCTTAACTATGAAAAAACTATCTAATTCTTCACACAAAATTTCCTGAGCGAACACTTATATTTGTACGTTGTTCAAATCAAATCACTCTCAGAACAACGAAAAATATATCCCATCCCTAACAAATGAGAGCATTTATCGAAAAAATAAATTATGACATTTAAAAATTAAAAATAGGAAAATTTAATGAAATTCTAAAATTTTTTGGGAAGACTGAAAATTATGAATGAAAACTACAATGTTGAATGGCGTATGTACATTCAAACGAAAGTACATTTTGTTTTCTCTCTCATCCGAGGTGCGCATTTTGTCCACGAGTTGAAATTTCCACAGAAAACTGGAAACAAAAGATGCAATATTTTCAAAATGTTTGTGTCGGCAGAAAAAAAGTTTAACAAGTGTCTCTCCAGCAGAATTTGAAAATAGAAAAATACTAAAATATGTCCAAAATGTCAACATTTACACAAAAAGTTGAAAACATGAATGAAAATTGTAAAATTAATGATATAATAAATCTTTGGGAGGAAAACAATAATTCTTCTATTCATATTAGTGTGAATTTAATGTATTTTCGTATAAATTCCCATTTAAATTAAACAAACAAATTTTTTGAAAAAAGGAATTATTTTACTATGAATTACGAATCGTGCCGTATGAACGGGTTAATTCGTGTACGTGATTCTGAGAGCAAACAACGTCATTCAATTTATCGTGTGAACATGCTATAAATGGGTGAAATTAGCAGCTGACACAACATCCTTATTAATTGTACCTCTCCCGTTTAATTTATCGACAAGCAACAAATCGATTACTTCGATGTTTACTGGCTACAAGAAAAGTCGACTTATGTATCCCCCAATCAGAAACAAAACAGAGGAAAAGAAATGAAGTAAACATTGAGAAAATCAATTCTTTTTGTTTTCGAAAAAAAAAACTTGAAAGAAATTTGGAATTGGATTGAACGAAACGTTGGCCGATGCTGTTATTGCAAAAACGCTGAAAACCGTTAACATTTAAGTCTTCGGTGGTCCTGCATTTTTGAGATTTTCACCAGGTCAAAAATAACTTCTATTTTAAGTCATTCGTATTGTGAATCAATAGAAAGAACTGCAGTTTTGTGATTGGTATTATGATATTGGATGAAATAGTCTCATGGTATGTGGTCGTGCTGGTTGTTGTTGAGATAAGACAAAGCACTTCCGAAACACAGTCATATACAAATGTGCGTTGTATTTTTCTCTATTTATAGGTATCAGAAAAAGATTGGAACCTACGACAAAGAACCATGGGAGAAGACAGTTGAAATGAAAATATTGGATGGCTTCAATAGCGGAGTAGCTCTGAAGACAGCAAAGCTAAAGACCGAGTTAATCGATGTAGACTTGGTTAGAGGTAAGGCCAAATTGAATGTTAAAGAAATACAATTTTTTATAAAAAAAATGAAGTTTAGTGTTTTAAATTCACCTGCTGTATAGCTTTGAAACACTTGTTCTATTCCTGTTTTTCATTTCTGTATTGCTATGTCCGCCTTTTGTAGGTTCAAGCTTTCCCAAGGCTAAGCCGAAACAATCATTAACAACTGTGATACGTTTATCAATATTACGTTACATATTTCTGCCCCTCTATGCACAATGGTGGGTGAAGCAAACCTCCCGCAATGCATTCGGCTTGTTATTCGTACTTTATTTAACCCAAATGATAAATTGGGCCGTCTACACCTGCAATGTGAATCGTTTGGAAGCTACAGCAGCATTAAATGTAAGCAGCGATAGCATTACAACGACGACGACGGCGACAAACTTAAGCCAAACAATTACAAACAACGATGAAAAATCAGAGAATGATGTAAGTGATGCAACAAAGATTGAAAGGCGATTTTTATGTTCAAGTCATACCATGCATTTCAGCATATCGTTTCACTTTCGGAGCTTTTGATTCCTATGGCCTTAAGTCTTCTACTAAGTCTAATACACTCTCAGATAGTAGCTACGAATATAGCTCAAGTTGGAGGCGTCAAGTGCAAAAGAAGACGTTACTCCAATGCCAGCCAGAGCAGCAATGGGCGACAAGGAAAATTCATGCGTAGACGCAAAAAGCTAGTTAAGTGAGTTGCGCATTCCATCTGGAAGCCGTATAGAATAATTATTTCCATGCCTTTCAGATTGAGAAGCCAGGATCTGTTGGAAAATAACAAAAAATATACAAGTGGGGCAGGCGTTGGTGGCAATGATTTGGCGGCTACTACCAAATCTAATCCAAATCCATCTAAATCCATTTTGGAAATTCCATGTGCACCCTACCAACAGCCTCCCACATCTTTAAAACTGAACTTGGGGGCTTCACAACAACCCCCTTATTTATCACAACTAAAGCTAGATCTCAGTGATACAATCACAAATTCAGAAGACTTTTTATTGAACAACGCCGCGGAATGCACTCTACGCAAGCGTAATGTCAAGTTTGCAGAAACGCAGGAGAAGCAGCAGCAAACCTCTCCGCAATCAATATCCACTACCAGTAGTACACGAACATCGTTAAAAGGTGAAAATTCCAGCCCATCGTCGAACAGTCCGTGTTTATCGCCAACTAAATCTGTTCGTATCGATGATTGCGTACAAGAATTCTATGAAGATTTAATGAGTAGGTCTTCAGCTACAACGGCTCAACAACAGCGGGCAGCAAATGCACCGGCAGAAGGACAAAATGCCTCGAATACACGTCGTACTGTCGGAGAGGATGATGGATTTGAAAGTCTGAATGGCAAGAGTTCTAGTGGTGAGGACAACAATGCGTCACCACACGCTTTACGATTACGTTCAAATATTGGCAACAGTCATGAACGGGTGGAGCTAATGACAGAGGTAGGTGTTCATCAAATACCAAATAGAGTAAAAGGATTAAAAAACCTGAAATCTGTTTTAGCGCAAAATAAAAACACACAACAGTGACGCCAAATCCCGCGATGTAAGCAGTGATGAGACCGAAGAAGATGGAGACGATGGGGATTTAATTTCAAGTCCAGCATCACAAGGTGGTAACACGTCCAATTGCAACGAATGCACGACCTCTGCCACAGAATGGCTGGGCATTACAACAAACAGTAAGTCCAACAACTATCCCATTTGTATTTATGCGAAATAATCATCCCCATTGTAGGTGACGAGTGCAGTTACAGTTCAGAGTATGATAATTCCGATGATTATAAGGGCAATCAATATTCGGACGAAAATATATCCGATTTGGATTATACGCCAACCGTCATTTTAAACCCCCATGGGACCAGTGACAGGAGTAAGTAAATCAAAATATTATATATTAGCTCCCATTGCTTAAAGTGGTGTGGCTTCCTCATTTCAGTTAGCTGCACTATTTGGGATCATCGTGAAATTAAAAAGGCCCAAATGTCTGTTTTGGAGATATCTTCTGCAATCATTGAGAACGTTGAATTGATGCCCGAAACAAACGATTACATTTATATCGGTATATTTTTCTCATTTGTATTATCACTGATACCGGTTTTCTGTAGGCTGTGCGAAATAACAATGGATTCGGAAAAATCCAGCGAAATCAATTATTTGGATTTACCAATGATGCTGTGGGAGAAGGCTTCATTTTCGTTCACCGCTATTTTTCGTTTTGCATTTGGCGACACCAAGTGGGAGAGAACGGTTCTGATCATAGGGTTCGTCAACCGTTTATGTTTGACCCTCATACTTTTCATGTTTTTTAGTGTGGCCGAACGTACTTTCAAACAGAGGTAAATTAAAAAAAAACATGTGATGTTAATTAACCTTTCATAATATAACGTTCTTCGTCAGATTTCTCTATGCCAAGCTGTTTTCACATCTAACGTCGTCTAGACGAGCCAGGAAATCTAATTTACCTCATTTCCGCTTGAACAAAGTGCGAAATATTAAAACCTGGCTAAGTGTACGCTCGTATTTAAAGGTAAGAAATTTCTAATGGGGAGCAAAAATAATAACAAATAACATCTGCCATCTGATTCTAGAAACGGGGTCCCCAACGTTCGGTTGACATCATTGTATCGGCAGCTTTCATTGTAACCTTGTTGCTGTTGGCGTTCTTAAGCGTCGAATGGTTAAAGGATTCAGTGCATTTACACTCTCACCTAAATCTGGAAGCATTGTTGTGGTCAAGCACAATTGGAATTTTCCTGCTGCGATTCATGACCTTGGGCAATAAAATTCACCATAAATACCGAAGTGTTTCTGTACTAATAACGGAACAGATCAACCTCTACTTACAGGTATGTTCTTCATTTTTTTATATATATTTAAAGATGTATCAATTCACTTTGTATGAATTTTCCCTTTTCTAGATTGAAAAGAAACCCAAAAAGAAAGACGAACTTATGGTCTCAAATAGTGTTCTAAAACTGGCATCTGATTTATTGAAGGAGCTGGAGACACCATTTAAAATATCCGGGCTCAGTGCAAATCCATATCTTTTTACAACAATCAAAGTAGTGATTTTGTCAGCCTTATCTGGAGTTCTTAGCGAAATGCTGGGCTTTAAGCTAAAATTACATAAAATCAAAATAAAATAATTGTATGTACCTTCAAAAATTTAGCACTTGATGTCTGTACTTTCGTAGATCGTAGTGAATATTTTTTTCTATTTCTATTCTTATTATTATTATTTTCTAAATGAATGGAATGCACAGGCTTAATTGAACGTTTACAAAGCAGACCACTAAGGTTGTGATTTCCATGTAATATAAACAAAGTGATGATGGATGAACAAAATAATGCCATAGATTTATTCATTTTAAAGTATCGCAATACGTGTGAATGTATTTACCTATATATTTATATTTAGAAAAGTGTATTATTGTGATGTTGTATTTGTTTTCAAATCTCTCAAAAGATATTCTTCAAAATTCATAGCTTATAAGAATTACACATCTATCTAAAAGAGGCAAACTTAGTATTCAGTTGATAATAAAGTAATATTTAAACAAATTTCTTACTTTAATCTGTTGATAAATTTTATGCAGTTGGCTCTCAGCACTCAGCCAAGCTACTCGACTTGGATAACACATTTAATCGTTTTTCAAAAATTACACTTGATTATTTCCGTATTTTTCGAGATCGTCATATAATGTGCAACTACATTTTTTATGGAATTGTTTTTAACTGCCAAATATATTTGCATTACATACGTTTAACTCTGATAATTGATAAATCTAAATATGGGTATATAGAACACGCCTTAAATTTAAACTACTTTTAATACCAAATTTCCATCTGGGTTAGCCCTGATTATTAACCAATCACAATAATGTTGGCTACAGACAAACATACATTAAAATTATTGTATATAAGGGTTAGCCCAGTAACGGATTTTTGGTCTGTTCCAGAACTGCAAGAATGTTAAAGTTTTGAATAAGATTTCGCAAAAAAAAATTGCAAAACTAGGCGATTCTTACAGGTTTTGGAACAGAGTAATTGTATGTAAAAGTGCTATTTTTGTGCATGGTCCACTATCATGTTTAACCCTGGAAGGTACTTTGGACTTAGGCATACTTTTACAATTTTGATACTTTGTTGGCTATTGGTTTATTTTTTGTTCTGCGATTTCAATCACAATAATGAATTTTGACATTTATATAGGTAGTCAGCTAGTTTGGAAAGGGCACTTTACAACTGGATCATGGTAGAAGACTATAGGTAGATGGAACAACGCTTGGGAACATTAATATGTCAAAAATTTTATAGTGTTTTGTCAAAAATAAGTAGATCTTTATGTTTTCTTATACAACGCAAATCGGAGTTTGTAATGATATGCATTTTCAACAATTTTGTCAAATTTCAATAATTTTTCATTCAAGATTTTCAATTCCAAAATCGCATTGATCCGACTACCTGAATTCTTCTACCACGAAGTTTCCATGGATTCGTATGTAAGCACGCTATTAGTTGGTTGTTAAAATGCATTCATAGGGTTCAATCAAACGTTATGTGTCGCCGAAACCATTAACATTTTAAAATTAGTCAGAAATATACCTTCTCGATAAAGATGTGTAATATATTTCTGTTCTTGGCCTTTTTTTCCTTCACCAATCCAATTGTAAATTAAAACTAATACTGCTATTAACGTTGAAAATATAAATACAGTATATGCAGATCAATGATGGATACTCCACTCCGAGAAATTAAATTGAATGCCGCCGTCATTTACATTGTTGCCTGGCTCGGTGTTTTCATTGAGAAGTGGTAGTTTTCGCATTTTGTGTCGTTTCTAGTTTTTCTATCAACCAAATAACCAACGTGTTTTTACCACTTGGTTAAAGTTGTTCTTGTACCTATGTAAGCAATTTTCCAATAATTGAAAGTAGAAAACTTTACAAAAAATACACCAGAATAATGTTTGTGCAATTATAACAAGACGCTAGTGATGTAAAATATAGTGTGCAGAAATTTCTATTTGTATGTCAAACGAGAAAATATGCGAAAATATATTTCAAGTGGCGGGGAGAGCAGACCACTATAGATGTCTAATAGCTGCGGCACGTATAATATTGAATGGAATAGACAAGGACAAGCATATGTCCAATTAGATATTTGCATTGTTCTTGTTGTGTTTTTTTTCTTTTCTTCGCAGTGTGAATGTGTCCGTGTGTGTGTTTTTTCATTATAATTCACAAAATCAATCGGACTTGTGTAGAACAAACTTCGGTTTCAAATTGTTAAAATAAAGTAACACAGTACTCGTTGAAATATTAAATAATTTTTTAATTTGTCAAAAGCGATAATCCTAAATATATACAACTGCTTTGGAAGTTAACTGGGTCGTTGCAAGCCAAGGCAATACCGTCTGGGTCTCTCTTTTTTATCACATCCAAAAAAACGTCAACGTCGTTGTCGTCCAAAACCACCCATTCTGCTGTAAGTTCGAGTGATTGATTTGGATGAGAGTAGAGTATAATATTAAAGGTGTGCGTGAGTGTGTCTGTGCGCTTGTTGGTTGCAAATAACAAAATTCTTTGGCAAAAACAATAAAAAAAGTGGTAACAATTGATTGATTTATAATATTTCTGTTGTGTTGTATGTTTAGGAGTACAAAACAATTTTTGTCGTCAGGACTCCCCCGGAAGAAGGTTTATGAAGCACAAACAACATTATATGGGGTGCAAGTAAACTGCCTGCAGCGAGCAAACTGAGATAAATTTGACCCCGATTTCTATATTTCTATTCTTTTTGTTGTGGTCTGTCACCGCCTCTGAAGGAAAACAATAAAGCACAGAAATGAACAAGGCTGACGTCAACAGACGGGTTTTGGCCATCCAAGCCAAAAAGAAGCGACACAAGCCAAATAAGAAACGTGGTAAAGCCAACGGCAATGCTGGTGGTGCAGGTGGAGGACAGCAGCAGCATATGTCTCAGAACGATGTAAACGATGCAGCAACACCATCACCATCCGATGCTGCAATCAGCAATCATCTCCTCGAAGACAATCTTATTTTAAAATCGCCGAATTCCATGCCAGAAGTGTGTGGCATCTCTACCAAAATCTCAAAATCATTTTGTGCCGCACCATCATCCAGTGGTTCAAATTCATTGGCGGGCAATACTCCCATCACTGGCTCATCGAATACCTTGGATGAGTCGACATACATTGGCACGCCTTCGTCCAAAAAGTTTTCAAATTTCATACATCCAAATGAGGTTTCCAATGATGATTACATGCCACAAGATGGTTACTTGGAACAACACCATTTAAATCATGACGACTATTTGCACTACCATCAGCAGCAACATTATGTTGATCCCATCTATCATGCCGAATATGTGAAGAAGCAGCAATTACTTCAGCAGCAGCAGCAACAACAACAACATCAGCAGCAACAACAACAATATCAATATCCACCACGTAGTTCTTCCAACGATTCTGAAGAATCAGAATTGAATAGCGAAAATGAGGAACAAGAACTTAAAGAAGACTATTGCAAGGGAGGCTATCATCCAGTAAATATTGGAGATCTTTTCCAAGGTAAATATGGTGGTATGCGGTTACTTTTTTTATTGTATTTCGTTCTTTATCAGTGTGAAGGCATGCTTTAATCATTTCATATAATCCCCATAATGCCTTCCCGTAATGTTCCGCGCGCCGAATGACACAAAACGTTTATGTAGAAGCTCTTAAAATAATAGTTAGATTTTGTCACTTGCTCCGCAGTGATTCACTCGCGCAGTAGAGCACACTAATTAGATGTTTCGAGAAGACGAAATCGCCATCAACAAATGACGATCAATCAAAACACATTTAGTTAACAACGTCTATTAATGTATTTTGAAGATATAAGTCAATCTCTGAAATGTGGTGTCAGAATTTTTATTTTTGTTGCGATTTCTCATCATCAGAATCATCTGCACAACCCAACCTATTTAAATATCTATTTGAATTTAGGCATTGTGTCTTTTTCTTGTTTTTGTTTACATTACCAACAACAAAAACAACAACGACGACAATGAGAATGACTGCCCCACAAATATTACACACGCACACACTGACTGGCTACAGCATGAATGAATTAATACATATGGAGGGTGGGGTACGTACCTCGTACTATGTGGTCAATTTTAATCAGTGGGGGTGAAATACAATTCACTATCGTTTATTACATTATAACACCTGTTTCATTTTACTGCGGGAAAGGGGGAAGATTTAGTTCATTTGCTTTATGTTAATGTTAATCCAGAACGCAATCACTCTATGTAAACATTTGTTGGACCCAAAAATCGATCGTATAGCCTGCCAAATAAAGTAAATCTTGCATTTCGTCCTTAGTTCCCCACAAAAGTGTGGAGGAAACTTCGCCAATTTGTTCACAGAGGGTATGCTTCCGAAAGAAGATACTTCACGAACAAGTTTAGAACTTCTTTTCCTATCTTCAATTCTTTCTTTTTTACTTTATTCAATTCATTCTTAATACTGAAGTCTCCAAGGCCAATTAATAGTATTTTGTTTCTCCATACCTTGCCAGAGAAATTTAGGCATCACCTTCCTTCACCTCTATTTGAAAATCTTGTAAAGAATAGGGGTTTTGTTAGACATTGCCCCAAACTCGTGCCCAAAAGTTTTAGTGGCATTTGTTGAACCAATCAAGTCGGCCAATTTAATCTCATATGTAGGTACATTATTTATAGAACGCATATTTTCAATTTTATGACTAAAGAAATTAAAAAAAATGTTTCAGCGAGACCTCGTTAGGGATAAAATACTAACACAACAGAACATGTATTCATTCGATTTGGCAATATTTTTAAATGATGTAATTTTTGCAAACGCTACATAGACAGGGCGGGCAAAAAATATACTTACATACATGCAACAAGTTTGCTAAATTCGTAGCTACATGTTTTTGAGGGATTTGTCTGAAGTTTATTTTTTTAGATCATATAACAACATAGTCAGAAATATCTTTCGAAAATATTTCGAAATGGTGTTAATATTCAATATTTTAGAGGGGGTCCGTCAGATCACCTGGCTATGTTGTTGGGTTCTTGATAGGTACCCTAACCCCCAGACAAAAAAAGTCAAGATATATCTCTCCGGTCGTAGCTTTGATGGAAATTTTTTAATATTTATAATAAAAGATTAAACCTGCTGAAATGGAGTACGGCATAGACGCCATATGACGAAAACGTCCAATATTCCACATGTGATTAAAACCTTCAATCACATTTTAACCCGAATTTGACACTTCTCAGACAGCAACCCATTATGCTATAAAAAAAAAAAAAACTATAAGCGTACATCCACTTTGCAATCTAAACTCATACAATGGTTCCGCAGCTTAATGTATTATCTCCCAATACAATTTCGAACAATCGATGGGTGCTAAATACTTTCACTGGCATTGTATTCAACAATATAAAATTTCCTTCTGGTAATGTTTTACTGTCGTTAACCTCTCGTATTGTGATAATCCACAGAATGATAGCAGACGAGAAGCAGCAGCAGCAGCTTCTGGATGGATAGAACCACAACCCCAAGTTCAACGTAATGTAATGTCACTGCAGAATAAAAATCCAGTAATTCCATGATTCACACACAAATACATGTGTGTACATATATATGTACAAGCGATTCTGTACGTATGTTTGTATGATATAATTGAAAAGAATGCAATGACCATAACAATGGTCAATAGGCGACGATGATGATGATGGTGGGATAACAACAACAATAAAAATACTCAAGGTGGAAGGGTGGAGACGAAACGAGACGAGGTGATCGGCTGGCTTGTATTTAGCATTAAATAAAAGTACCATACCTAGTTACATGAACCATGGAATTAGTATCAACCTGATAGTAACGTTAAACAGTCAAGCTAACTAAAAAAATCGCGCCGCACAGTTTGTTGCATTACAGAATGGACTTATTCAATGATGACATTAGTTTTACTGACTTCATATATCTGCTAGGTTGTAATGTAGACAGAGTAGATGGATGGATGTACAATACTTTTTAAGGTGTTTACCTATTGTAGTCTAACGCTTTTGTTCTCTGTTTCCAGGTCGCTATCATGTTGTGCGAAAATTAGGTTGGGGTCATTTTTCAACCGTTTGGCTTTGCTGGGACTTGCAAGAGAAGCGATATGTGGCCATTAAAATTGTGAAATCAGCTCAACATTTTGCCGAAACAGCTCGAGATGAGATAAAAATACTCAAATCGGTGCGGGATTCAGATCCAAATAATCCACGCCGCCAGAAAACCGTCCAGTTGTTGGATGACTTTAAGATAACGGGTGTAAATGGAACACACATTTGCATGGTGTTCGAAGTGCTTGGTGACAATCTCTTGAAACTGATACGCAAGTCCAATTATCGTGGAATACCCATCGAAAATGTGAAAACAATCACACGGCAGGTTCTCGAAGGACTTGATTATCTGCATACATGCTGTAAAATCATACACACCGACATAAAGCCCGAAAATGTGCTTTTGTGCGTTAACGAAAACTATGTGCGAAAGCTGGCGAACGAAGCTACCGAACTTTATGTAATGAACTTCAAGATGTTCCCTTCGTTTGTCAGCCGGGCTCCCAAGGAGTATAGGGAGCCACAGATAACGGGCAAGATGAGCAAGAACAAGAAACGCAAGCTGAAGAAGAAGGCCAAGAAGCGTTTAGAGCTTTTTAAAAAACAATGGGACTATTTGGAACAAAGTGGTGCCACGGGTAATGGCGATCAAGCGGAGGAGAAAACTGAGCTTGATGGTGGCGGAAAGTCCCTACAGAATGGCGATGCATCCGATAATGATGACGATGAAGATCTACAGGATGACATGGCTGAGGAAAAGGCGGCGGACGCTGATGCTGATGATGACGATGAACACGTTATGGAGGAGCCGGCGAAGCCCATCAAATTAAAGACTTCGAAACCCAACAATGGAAAGCAACAACAACAACAGCAGCAGCAGCAACAACAACAGGGTGATGCTGAACAGAACAACGCTGCACCTGCTACCACAACGGAAAATAAAAAGAAGAAGAAAAAGAAAAACAAGAGTAAGCAAAAATCAATTCATTCCAAGAAAACCTATTTTTTAACCTTTTTTTTCAACATTTTCTTACAGAAAAGGGTAATCAGCAGCAGCAGCAACAACAGCAACAACCACAAAACGAAAAGAACACAAAAGTGGTTGCGGGTAACTCAACAACATCCTCGAGCAGTGGCAGCAACACGATTAAAGGCGAACAAAACGACTCCACCAGCAGTTCTTCGGTGACCCTGAAAGGTCAATTGTCAAATACAGGTGATGCTGGAGGTCAAGGCAAACAGCAGAAATCACAACAACATCAAAACAACAAACCCCCGACGAAGGGGGCTAACAATAACAACAATAACACCAGCAAAACAAACAATAAAGCAAATCAGAATCCGAAGAATCAGCCACCACAGCATAGTCCAATGCAACCGCAACTGCACCAACCAGTGGCAATTACCAATGGGCCTTCAACAGAACCCGAAACCCGGCCAAAGGATCCTGCCTTAGAGCCCTGTGATTTTGAGGTTAAAATTGCCGACTTGGGAAATGCTTGCTGGGTCGATAAGCATTTCACCGAGGACATACAAACGCGACAATATCGTTCCTTGGAAGTGATATTGGGTGCAGGTTATGATACATCAGCCGATATATGGAGTACAGCCTGCATGGCCTTTGAATTGGCCACAGGTGATTATTTGTTCGAACCACATTCGGGTGATAACTACACAAGGGATGAAGACCACATTGCCCATATAATTGAACTTTTGGGACCCATTCCCCCTCACATTGTCTTCAGGGGAGCCTACGCCACACATAGTTTCAACCGCAAAGGTGAACTACGTAACATAACTGGCTTGAAGCCATGGGGCCTAGTGGCTGTTTTGCATGAGAAATACGAATGGTCTTTGGAGGAGGCCGAGGCATTTGCCGACTTCTTAAAGCCCATGCTACAATTCGATCCCGCAAAAAGGGCAACGGCAGCGGAATGTCTAAAGCATCCATGGCTAAGATAAGATACACTTATTAACCCCAGTAACCAGCCCCAAAATCCCCACCACAGTCAGTCCTCTACCAGCAGCTCCTACTCATCATCCAACACAACGTTGAATACAACTTCAAATGATGACGATGACGACACCGTATCGGCTACTTTGTATGCAGTTTGTCGACAAAAAAAGAGTTTATTGCCCCGTTTATCGTTACCACCGCCTCTTGATAGTGGCGGTGAATTCCGTGCAGGAGCGGTCACGGCCTCATCCTCATCGTCGGCAGCTACATATTTACGTTCGCCATCATTGCCCGCCGCCATACCATCAGTAGCCTCAGATCTACTGTCCGCAAATAGCAGATCTCCGTCTCGATCTTTGATGACATCTATTTGGCGTTTATCGACATCAAAATCCTTATCACCCCAACCAGTGGCTAATACAAATGCTGCGCAAAATTTGTGCTGGCGCAAAGCAAAAACCTGGCGTCGCATTTTCAAAAAGCATTGAAACGAAGGGCTACAACAAGTACAGCAACGGTGGTTGATCTCCCGATGACAGTGATGATGATGATGAAAGAAGTAATATCAAACCACTCTCAAATAATTCGTCGTTTAGGCATCATTTCCTTCCCCATATTTATTTATGTTCGTTTAACTATTTCCAGAAAAATATAATAATATTGTGGTGAGATGTCTGATGAGATTCTCACATAAAATAATAAAAGCAACAACAAACTGCAACAATAATTTTGTTTAGAGTTAAAATTCCTTTATATGCGCGAAACCTCCCTTTATTATAGAAAGTACCCTAATAATGACAACACAACTATCAGTTAGTAAATAATAATAATAATAACAATAATAATGTCAAATGAATTAAAACTGATGAACATCTTAAACGTAACGACAACAACACATAATAGTACACCACGAATTTCTTTTGAATATATTTTATGTTCCACATGCATTATTTTGTTGTGTTTGTTTTTATGAAATTGAATATTAAAAACAAAACATATGTATGATGACTGCATAATAGTTTCCTTTTTTTTTGTTTTGTAAATTTTCAAGAAACCCATGGAACACCACACGCAAAGTTCCCAAAGCAATTAAGAATTTCTTTGTGTTTGACTTTGCGTTTTTTTAAATTGTAAAACATTTCAAATAATTTTGTTTTAATTAATAATTTAATAATTGTAATAATAAATTAACTTATTTTCTCTCATATAAATATGTATGCCTGTTCTTCTTTTGTTGATTGAACAAAAAGACAACTTAACCCAAGTTACATTCAAATATTGTAGTAGTGGAAAGGAAGAATTAAGATATCATCTTTCAACATATTATTAATAAAAAAAAAAGAAACACAAACCACAGGTGGTTGGAAGAACGAATCTTCCACATCTGATGAGAGCAGCCTACTAAAATTATTAAAAAAAAAACAACTAAGCAAATGAAATTGTTTGGCAAAAAACCATAAGAAAATACGAATATAAAAATATGACAACTAACATTACTCACAAAAAAAAATTAAGAAAACATTGTAGTGAATATTACAATACTTATAGAGAAAAAGAAAATGAAGCAAATAGCAAAAATAAAACACCATATTGCAAGAAACTTTAAATGCAAAAAGAGCAGAGTATATACATAAATACATAATTGTGTCTGTGTGTGTGTTAATTGATGTTAATGGGTTCCCTTGCATCCGTTTTTAAATTATACGTGCCTGACAAACAAACAAAACATTAATGCTTTTAATTTTCCAATCAGATAGGATTAACAATTTGTTTAACTTGAATTTATTTTATTGGGAAATTCATGGAGTAGCTTAAAGATTCATAGATTCCAAAACACCATATTTGTATTTTTTTTTTTTTTTTTGCAAAAAAGGGAATGTCTCATTTGTCTTTGAGGGCTTTATATATTTGTTATTGTAGAAGTCTACGAAGATTTGCTGTCTCTAGAAATGAAATCCATAGTGATCCCTTTGAGCAGACATTTTGCAAACGCAATCAGTTATTTCTTCGGACAATTTGGTACAAAGCTAACTTTATTCATTTTATTATTATTTTTATAGCCTCCAACATCGTATTGCGGTTATATTACGTTTGTAACACCTCGAAATATATATTCTTGATCAGCATAAAACTCTATGTCGATTTAGCGATGTCCGTCTGTCTCTGGACGGACGGTTTCCGAACGAAATGAAGTAGGTTGATAAAATCTTACTCAAATGTGTATTATGTCTACAGGACTTTTGGTATTGAAAATGGGTAATGTAGGTCCACATCTTCGTATAGCCCCCATATAACGGTAACTCCCTTTTTTCGGTATTTTGATAATTTTACCGACATCATTCACCGGAAATGTTTCAAATTTGGTATTTGAAGTTCGTAATGGGTACTACAGCCTATGACAGAAAATTGTCTGGTCAGGTTCTCGTCTTCGTATAGCCCCCATATAACGGTACCTCCCGATATAAGGTATTTTGATGATTTTTCAAGTTTGGTATTTGAAGTTCGTAATGGTTACTACAGCTTATGACAGAAAATTGTCTGTGCAGGTCCACGTCTTCGTGGACCCCCATATAACGGAACCCCCGATATTAGGTATTTTGACGATTTTACCGACATTCTTCACCGGAATTGTTGCAAATTTAGTGTTTGAACGGATTTTTTTTTTAAATCCGAAAATCGTTTAAATGGTGGACGGTATACCGGCAAAACTTAAAGCTTCTTTACTTGTTTTAATTTTGAAATTCAGTCAGTTTTCATGATAAAGGCAATGTTATTCTGAATCACAATTTTTTGGATTAAAGTCAAAATTTTCTATTGTCTATTCTATTAATCTTATCACAATAACAATAAAGAATAATAAGTTTGAAGAAGGATTAAAGGATCCTGGTATGTTCTGTCAGAATACAGGATGACTGACTTTCAGGACGTATAGAAACATTGTGGGTATATTGCACTTTGATGCAATTTTTTTTAATTTCATACGGTCAAAACGAGCCTTATCGAAATAGCGGTTTTAGACAATAGGTATCTTTGACCGAAACCTGTTTTAGGACTCTCGAAGGGAGTATCCGATTTGATTAAAATATATGTCGTAATATTATTGTCAAATATATCGCAATATTATTGTCAAACTCAGATCGAGTTCGGAGATGGCCAATATCAGTCCACTCCTCCCCCACAAAATGACAACATTTTCAAAAAAATAATTTACTGCACTGAAAGAGAAAGAAAAATCCGATTTTGCTCCTTTGCAATATCCTGGTATTTGCATCAATGCTAGGTTAGGTGCGAAAATGGAAAATGGAATATCGGAATACTCCATCCTCCCCCACAAAGGATCATTTTTGAAATAATTATAACTCTTATAAAATGTGATGTAAGTGAATAATCCCCACAAAAAGGTCAAAGTTGTGAATAATCAAAACGACTATAAAATCTGAAAATCGGTTCTCTTCAAACTACACACATCACAATATTTTTATTAACCCAAGGTCTGGTGTGAAATTGGGATATATCGGTACACTCCTTCTGATACCTTCCCCACAAAGGTTCAAGATTTTTGCCATGAAGCTCAACGAGAAATTAACAACCTATTCCATTCAGACTTGGTACATCTCACTATTTCCATCAACAAAATATATGTGATACAGATGGTAGAGATAGGGCCATTTCTTCTGGTACCTCCCCCACATAGGGTTTAAAATTTTGGAAAACAAAACGCTCAAAGAAAGCGAAATAAGCATCCAATTCTCTTCGAATTTCACACATCCAAATATTTTTGCTAACGCAGGATCTGCTGTAAAGATGAACCCCTGCAGGTACCTAACCCCCAAAGAGTCATAATTTTCAATAAAATCTTGATATAAATGTTCGATTTCCTTAAAATTTTACTTCTTTTAGTTACAAATTTTTCCTTGTCGGGTGCAACTTTATATAACCCACCCTGATATATATTTTCATGGTAGAAACTTTCAAAATGCTAAAAACAAGTAGGATCCGTAATATAGAGCCTATGCAGCACAATGTTGAACCTTTTTTATTCAACATTTTTGCAAATCTTAAATTAAAGCTGATTGGATTGGAAAACGGGGCTGAAACCTTTAAACAGTACCGAAAATCCGGATGTTCTCTTATCGTCCTATCATTGAGAAGGGTTAAGTTGCAAGTACATAAAAAGCTTGAAGTCATGGCTAGGCAGGATTTTAGTGCGGCTCTGTAACCCCTTTATGAAATGTCACAATATATGCCTATTCAAGCTTCTTATGTACTTAGACCTTTAGCATACCAGCTGAGAATCTGAAATATCAAATTACATCTGATTTTGTTGGAAATGAATTTATGGGCGATAGGGGCAAGCCACACTAGCCATTAAAGGGTTAAGTTAATTTACGTCCACAACACCGCACCGCACTACATCAATAACCCCAGCAGCTTCTGCACTAATCACAAAAGTTTGAGAAATGCTTTCTTGGTAACCTATAACTGCCGGTTACCCGAATGCAAAAAATGTTTGTCATTGTATAGATGTGTATGTGTGGGCATATTTTTTGTTTTGATTCAGAAGTTCAGAAGCAATTTTAGCTTCGGAAATTAACACATTAACGGGAAAATACAATTGCATTTCGAGATATAATCCATCATAAGCGGGAAAATAGTAACTGAGTGTGACTGGATTCGATTGGATTGTGGAAATTAAAGTAAATCCTTTGAGTGTGTAAGAATTTTCCAATCAGAACAAAGAGAAGCGCATAGCGAGGAAAAAGTGTAGTGGTGTAAAAAAATCAAGCCAATTTTATCGAAAAGCAAACAAGATTTAATTTGCTTTAGCTGTCACTTCTGAATTCGTATAGGAAAAATAATTGCATAGAAGAAGAAGAAGAAGAAGTAGAATCTGCAAATGTAGCAGAGGAGTGAATTTATTATCTGGATTTTCTTTGTTTGTTTTTTTTTTCGTTCAACTCAGAATCAGGACTTCCACGGAGCTGCAAATTAACGACTTGTCATTGTTTATTCGGCACACAAGCGGAAGGACGACAAACAAACAGACAATATACGTATATATATACCTATATCTTCAAAGAAAAACTCAAAATGTCGGAACAAGAACAGAATAAAAAATTAGGAGAATTAACAGCAGAAGAGGTGAATATCCGCATTACTTTTTATGAGGAAAACAGAAGAAAAAATTATATAAAAATGGGTAATTTATTCGTTTCTTTGTGTCCATCCGACAGATGCGAGCGAGACGACTACGCACTTTGGCTAAATCAACAAATAATGCCACATCTGCTGGTGCAGCGGAATGTGGCAGCGGTGTCGCCAATCTGCCTCTTCCCTCGAACAACAACAACAAAACCGAAGGTACTCTTATTTAGTGTGCATTAGCTGCACTAAGGCTTGCAAAGAAGAGAGCGTCGTATACTAATAATTTATTTGTTTCTTTTTTCTTTCGAACTAAGTAAGCGGTGTTCAACGTCCAGCCACCAACGTTTCGAGTTCTTCCCGCTTGGTGAAAGCTGTAAACCCGACTGGTTCACCCACAACTGTTAGTAATCAGGAGAGCATTGTACTGCCTGTCGTCGATCAAGATGAACAAAAAATGGATGTTGACGTGGAAATGAAATCGGTCAACACAACACCAATTAAATCACAACCCACACTACTCTCCCCTACGGTGGTAGGAGCGTCTGTGGAACAAATGTCTGCATCGAGCAAAGTGAAATGTCAATTGGCTCTGAAAGATCCCGATTCAAGTATTGAAAAGATGGAAACTTTAGAACAAATGTCGCCAGCTGGGACACCACAGAAAGATCAAACTACCACCAATCCTTTGGATGGCCTTCAGAAGGGTTCAAAATCTACAGAAGAGCGTATGGAGATTATGCTCTCCAAAATATTGAATGCAACATGGAATGAATATTGCACTGGATCAATGATTTGTCCACAAACAGCCAGTTTCCTCGAAAAGCACATGGAACTACGATTCGATTTCGATTGGCTAAGTAGCAACGTGCTGATGGAGAGTGTTCTAAGGCTGTACAACGACGAAGATGTCATTGAAGATGGCGGCGATGCAAATATCGACGAGGAGATGAAAAGTGAGGTCGGCGCAAAAGGAGGTGCTGATTCAGCCCCGAAAAAAGATAGCACCCCTACATATTCGACGCCGAAGAAGATTAAAAGCGACGATTCAGAAGTGCAGGAAATTTTGGCCAATGTAATCGATGATCAGCCCTCAACATCCAGAGGCTTACAGAGTGGTAGGTCGTAATATAATTTTACTTTTTGAGTTCTTGACAATAACAATGCTCTTTTTCTCTAAAGGTATAAATGGTTCGGAATTCATTGGCACTTGCCCAACACCATCGTCCAATATCTTCACGCCAATGACATTGGCCAAGCATAAAGTTTTGTTACATTTGATACAGTGCCACAAAAATCACCGCCACATTAACGAGAGATTTATTGCCAACCTGGTACAGGAACAGCCTGCAGATGCAGAGAAGGTACAAAACATGCTAAAGGCAGTCCACAAGCAGATATTTCGCATGACAATCTTAGTGCTTACCGATCGCATTCACGAAAATCTTAATTATGCCTTGGACCAATCCACCCTGCTGGAGCTGTACTATCAGTTACGTGTGCCCGAGGAGTTCCTGTTTGATCTGGTAGCCGAGGTCTATGAACGAAAGCAAGACTTTGAATTCATTTTTAGCCAAATGTTAAGGGACTTATTTATGGGCATGCAACGCAATATATGTTCGCCAACCATCATTACCCATCACATGGACTTACTGTCCAAATTAATGTCGGTTAAAATTGGCACGGCCAGGCCCCTGTGTGATCTGTTGGCTAGCCAGACGAACTTCTTACCTCCTCTGTGTACCCAGATTCCGGGTAGAGAAATAGTCAAATGTAGCTATTTAGGGCCGTTTTTGTCGGTGTCATTCTTTGCTGAAGAAAATGTTCGTTTTGCCGAAGCCCATGGCAATGTAGACACATTGGCGCTTAATTCGGGCAAATTCCAGTGGGTAAGTAGAAACGAAATAAACACACAAAAATAAATGACAGACTTTAATAACATCGCAATTTATTTTCGCACTCCCCCCCAGCAATTGTTTACAATGCGTCAACTTATGTATTCAGTTTTCCATTCCCTACTTGTCAATGTCAATACTCGGCCAAAGACTCTGGACTATATATCGCAAATATTGCGCCACAACGAACGACGTGTGCAATTTGCCAGCGATGAGAAATTATTGGCACGCGACGGCTTTGCCATTAACCTCATGTGCGTTTTACAACAACTTTCGGTTAAAATCAAACTAGATCGTATCGATCCGCAATATCCTTTTTATAAGAACGCATTAATCTATATCGAACAAGATACAAAATTACGCTTCACCGAAGAAGAATATAAACAGTTCCTGGATCAACATTTTACTGCCACCAACACGGAAACGCCGGAAAAGCAACCCAATTTCCAAACTCAGTGTTGGTTCTTAACACTGCAAGCCCACCACTTGGGCTTTATGCCAGCCATACAGAGGTACCGACAAAAGTGTAGGGCCATCAAGGAGTTGCAGAAGTTAATCGAAGAGATAGACCGAACCACGTCTCATTGGGAGGCCACCCCGTTTGCCTCGCGCAACAAACAGTTTAGGGACCGTTGGCAAAAACAGTTGAAGAAATTGTTGCGATCGAAAATGTGCAGCGAGGTGTGTCTTTTGGATCCCAAGCTGTTGAATTCATGCCTGTTCTTTTACTCCACTGTGTGCGAGTACCTCTTGTATCAAATGGAGGGACGTCAAATTGAAGGGCCATTCATGTCAACAATGCCTCCACAACAATTGAAACCGACTGATGCATTCTCTGCACTGCCCGAATGGTATATCGACGATATAGCCGAGTTCATTTTGTTCGCTATGCAGCATGCTCAAAATGACATCCGCAACGCTATAGATCATTCGATTTTAACCTGGTTGCTGACCAGCGTGTGTGCTCCTCACATGATTAAAAATCCCTATGTCACTGCCAAACTGGTCGAAGTTTTGTTTGTGTTCTCCTTGGGTCCGGCAGATAATGTTTTAAATAGAATGGTAAGTGCGCAAGCTATTTTTAAGCTTATTATTATTTTATTAACAGCGTCGCTTCATTTGTTGTACAGATATGGCACCATGAATTGGCACAAACCGTTTTATGCAGTTCATTGATGAAATTTTATGTAGATATTGAGACGACCGGCCAAAGTACAGAGTTCTATGACAAATTCACAATAAGGTAATGCAAAAGTCCACTACGTTCGATTGCAGCATTTAATTTTGAAGTTTTCTTTCTTTCATAGATATCACATAAGCCATCTGTTCAAGTCGATGTGGGAAAGACCTGTTCACCGTCAGGTCATGATCAACGAATCGAACAATGGCAAACAGTTTGTTAAGTTTATCAATATGCTAATGAATGATACCACATTCCTGTTGGATGAATGCTTAGAAAATCTCAAACGTATACATCAGACTCAGGTGAAAACAAAGTCCTCGCTTCCTTGGCCAAGACGATTTTTCATAAATACTTGAAATATTTTCAGATTATGATGGCAAATGATTCTGCCTGGTCTAGTTTGGGTGCGGAACAACAGCAAGCTCGCCTTTCACAATTGGCAACAGATGAACGACAATGTCGTTCCTATTTGACACTGGCCAGAGAGACGGTTGAAATGTTCCACTATCTCACTGTAAGATAAAAGAGAATGTTCAATACTTATTGTTAAACTCCATTCATATCTTTTGTTAAATTTCCTCCTTTCAGGATGATATCAAGGAACCATTTATGCGTGACGAATTGGTTGACCGCCTTAGTTCAATGTTAAACTTCAATCTACACCAACTATGCGGCCCGAAATGTAATGACTTGAAAGTCCGGAATCCCACAAAGTATGGCTGGGAACCCAGACGTCTGTTGGGTCAAATTTTCGATATTTATCTGCATCTAGACTGTGATAGATTTGCCCAAGCTTTGGCAGCCGACGAAAGATCATTTCAGAAGCACTTATTTGATGACGCCGCCAATCGTATTGAACGTCTGAGTATACGATCTGCTATTGAAGTGGAGAAATTTAGAGCATTGATATCTAAAGCGCATGATATCTATGGTATGTTCAGTTTTCGCTTTAGACGCGCGCGTCTTTTAATTAACACTCTTGTCATTTTAGTGGCCAATCAACAGTCTGAAGATGAGTGCGCAAATGCTCCTGATGAGTTTAAGGACCCTCTAATGGACACCCTAATGTCAGACCCGGTCGTCCTTCCATCTGGCACAATTATGGACCGTGCAATTATAACACGCCACTTGTTGAACAGCAACACCGATCCCTTTAATCGACAGCCTCTAACGGAGGACATGCTCGTTCCAAATATTGAATTAAAGGAACGCATCGATGCCTGGCGCAAAGAACAACGCTACAAAAGGCAACAGCAGAGTAATTTAGATTTAAACGACAAGAGCTCTTAAAAGTTAGGCTATCGTTTGCTATCTATCTATGTACCCTTTAGGCGTCGTCTTCAAGGAAATACGAATTCGTCCTTGTTGGCCGAATTCGAATAATTTTTATACATAAACCCTTAGCTTTTAATTCAAAATAGTTGTACTACTTAAACATAAAATATTAATTAATTATAGTAGTCATTCGTATGACGTTATCTCATCTTAAGTTTTTCTGTCATTGTCTAAATTTCTTCATCTCAGGATGATGATCGAAGAGAGATAATGCGTCGTAGTGTGTTTGTATGTTTGAAACAGTGTTGTACAGTATACATATGTAACGAATACAAAAAAATGTCCAATGCGCCTCCTCCCGTTTATCTCTCTCTCTCTCACTCCTCACTCTTCCCCGCCCAGATATATTTATCCACGTTCTATATGAATTCAATAATATACTGCAATGCTAGCAATACTCCAGGAATGAAATATAAAAATAAAACATGATTCATAAAAAATATGCATTTCCTCAACTTTGTCTATGCTTTTCAACGAAATGGGTGACTTGGTAGTCAATCCGTTAAGTTCTGTGGGCCGAACTTTTAATTCACACTACAATTGGGAAAGTAACAGATTTATAAATACCGATGTCTATAGTTTCAGAGATCTATTGTTCGAATTAGTTTTTGTCTGCTATTAGAAATTTGCAAAATCTAATAAAAGAAAAAAGCACCAAAAATCGTCAAAATATGGAATATCGAGATGTTCTCTACGAAAACTTGGACCGTTAAAAAATGCGACTGCAATTATCAGAATTGTAATGATATCATTAATTGAGGGCTGTACTAAAACGTGGACCGTACGGTGATTCGATTGTTTCAAGCAGAACCGTTATGTGGGTGCTATAGCAAAACGTATACGGCCCATTTTCAATGTGAACAATCCTATGGACTTGGCATTAAAAATATGTCTGAAGTGCAAAAGACTTGATCTATTTTTCCTAAATCTGTTAAAAATTACAAATTTTATAGTGCAAAGTTATTTATTTATACAATAACTTGTAACACAGAAGCCTTTAGTTCATAAAAATCATTACATATTATTTTTATAGTTAATTTCTTTCTCTTTTCTTTTGACGATAAACTTGGTTATCAGATCGCCTTACTGGCCGACCTTATGTGAGCCATTTTTTGTTTTGAAGAACTATTAAATTTTTGCGTTATCCGATTTGATCCTAACTTGATACATCGTAATATTATTGTCAAACTTAGCTCGAGTTCGGAGATGGGCAATAGCGGTCCACTGGTCTGGTACCTCCCCCACAAGGGGTCAAAACTTTGAATAATTATTACTCTTATAAAATGTGATGTAAGCGTCCGACCGTCTTTAAATTACACACATCACAATATTTTTATTAACCCAAGGTCTGGTGGGAAGGTTATATATATTGGTCCACTCCTTCTGGTACCTCCTCCACAAAGGGTCAAAATTTTGAATATCCATGAAACTCATAAAACACGAAGTTAACATCCAATGCCATTCAGACATGGTATATCTTGATATTTCCATAAACACAAGATGTGTTATAAAGATAGTAGGGATCGGACCATTTCTTCTGGTACCTCCCCCGTGCAAAGGGTCAAAGTTTTAAATAACTAAAACGATCATTTAAATTCTTATTAACCCAAGGTCTGGTGTGAAAATATGATATCTCGGTCCAATCCTTCTGATATACCCCCCACAAAGGGTCAAAATTTTTAAATAAATCTAATACAACGCAAAATTAACATCCGATTCTATTCAGACTTGGTACATCTCAATATTTCCATAAACACAAGATATGTTATAAAGATAATACAGATTGGACCATTTCTTCAGGTATCTCCCCCACATTTGAAAAACAAAAGAAGAAAGCAAAGTAAGCATCCAACTCTCTTCAAATTTCACACATCCAAATACTTTTGCTGACTCAAAATCTGCTTTGAAGATGATATATATCTGTCAACCCCTTTTGGTACCTCACCTACAAAGGGTCACAATTTCCAATACTTGTGAACATATCGCAATATCCCATTTGGCAAATATTGAAAAATAAGATCGGGGTAAAGCTAAATAATTCCAAAAAGTGCAAGAACTTACACCGCAGCGGAAAGATAATAGACTCAAATAGACTTCGCTTGGCCGAAAGTTGTGAACTGCCGAATTTGGTTTTCTCCGATGAGAAAAAATTCGTTGCCCAGCAGTTTGTAAACAAACAAAATGATCGTGTTTACTTGCCAAAGAGGTCAGCAGAAAATATGCACCTTCGGTTGGCCACCAGAACTCAAGCGCCGGCCATGATGATGGTGTGGGGCGCCATAACTGCCGATGGCATCAGAATAAATGCCCAATATTTTCGCGACAATATTCTGGATGGTGTATTAAAGCCTTGGGCACGCAAACATTCTGGTCACAGACCTTGCACATTCCAACAGAACTCAGCACCATCGCACTCACCACACGCCAAATGGTTACAAAATGAGGTTTCTCGCTTCATTTCCAGCGCGCAATGACCACCAAAATCTCCGGATACCAATCCGTTGGACTATTGTGTCTGGAGTATTTTTTTGAAGGCCATTCGTGCCAAAGGTGACCAATTCGAACAAATCTAAACTTATTCTAAAATTGGCTTAACTCTAGTTTAGTAAAAACTCTTCAATTTTTTCGAAAATTTTTTCAGTGGTAGGTATTTTAACCATGATCCCGGGAAACTATTTTTTTCTTGGGGGACGGACCTGGGACCCCAGATTTTTGACCCGAAAGTCCGGGTTCAAGACCCCGACTAGACCCGGATCCACTTACCCGATATAGACAATATGGGTATCGTTGGAAAGCTTATGAAAATACCTATCCAACAAGTGGTCACATGATGGGGTAAGATGTTACGGTTCGGAAGTTATAGTCAAATTATCGACTTTTTGGACCCGGATTTTTTATAAAACCCCCAAAAAGTCAAAAAAGGGTCCATTATGGGGGACAACAAAATTGATGCCAAATTATAGCTGACACTTTTACCTTTCCAAAATGCTACAATTTGTGCTAATACCTTCACTGAGTCCAGAGATATGGGTCTTTCCATCCGCATAACCCGATTCTAACCAGTTCATTAAAACTATGTTTTCAATAAAAAATGGTATATTTTGCGTAAGAATGAAGTTCAGAAATCTTTGGTCCGCGTTAGCCGGTGTAGGACATACCCAGAGGAGAAAATCTCAAGCCCCGGCCGAAGGCCGGCTACTTACAAAAAGTATCCGATTTAGAAAACTTTGGTTCGCGTTAGCCGGTGTGGGACATACCCAGAGGAGAAAATCTCAAGCCCCGGCCGAAGGCCGGCTATTTACAAAAAGTGTCAAATTTAGAAAACTTTGGTTTGCGTTAGCCGGTGTGGGAAATACCCAGAGGAGAAAATCACAAGCCCCGGCCGAAGGCCGGCTATATACAAAAAGTGTCAAATTTAGGAAACTTTGGTTCGCGTTAGCCGGTTTAGGACATACCCAGAGGAGAAAATCACAAGCCCCGGCCGAAGGCCGGCTACTTACAAAAGGTATCCAATTTAGACTTTCGGGTCAAAAATCTGGGGTCCCGGGTCCGTCCCCCAAGAAAAAAATAGTTTCCCGGGATCAGGGTAAAAATACCTACCTCTGGAAAAAATTTCGAAAAAATCTAAGAGTTTTTACTAAACTAGAGTTGTTCCCTAAAATTTTATGCTTTTCCGACATGTTTTGTTTTTATTAAATAAAATTAAAAAAAAAATAATGACTTTGTTGTAATGACTTTGTTGTTTGTCGAGTTTGAAAATTCCAAAATATCATGCCGAATTAAAATGCGATCCATGTAACGGTAATTTCCAATAAGCACAACTCATATGTTATTTATGTTGACGCAAGAATGGGGTTCCATTATCAGATGTTTTCCATTGGTACGAAATTGACCTACAAACCCCTAATGTTCTTCTTGTCAGAATTTTTTTGTTTTGATTACTGATTTTTATTGACTTTTCCATTTCCACTTGGGTTTCTTTTATTTTGGTGTCAGTGTGTGTGAGTGCGGTGTGTCGAAAATTAAAATTATATTTTTTTAAAAATTAGTCAAGAACGTAAAACAGTTCTTTGTTTGTGGCAAAATAGTCGACCGAATCCTTCGGCTCCACAGCATACACACACTTGGACAATATTAAGGCGATTCAATGAATCCCATGTAAGATTTTTACCATTACCCATTATTGAATAAAAAGGTATTCTTCGGTTTTATTTGGTAGTGTCAACGAACCTGGATTTCAGGCAGCATCAGCCATGACAGCAGCAATGGCCTCCATCGATTCCATTGATTCGGAAACTTCCGATGCTGCTGGACAATATCCAATGGAGGAATGTGTATTTCTCGATCCCGAAGTTCAACGGATAATGCGGTCCAACAATGAAGATACCAGCGAGTACCCAAAATATGGTTGGGTAGACATTACACAAGACTTCAAATCGGCATGCTCCGAGCTGAATTTGGGCGAATTGGCACAGGACATGCTCTTTGGTTTGTTCGAAGCAATGTCGGCCATAGAAATGATGGACCCTAAAATGGATGTCGGCATGGGGTATAACAAGAACGATGCCGCTCCACACACATTTGAATCGGCAGTTGAGGTGAGTGGTTAAACTCTATTGGCTAAACGTACACATTAATCCGTTTAATACAGGCAGGAGTACTAAAACTCAACAACTTAACCAACGAGGAGTTGATTGGCGTCTTCGATGCTCTGTTTTCGTGCATCGTTTCCTGGTTAGAGGGCAATTCAATGGACCAAGTTCTGTTCACCTGTTTGTATTTGCATGCCCCTGCGAAGATTGAAGACAAAGCTTTGAAGGCATTTGCGCACGCTGTTAGAAATTTGATTATCATTGTGAAGAACATCATCATATCGAGCAGCGTCAACGAGGAGGAAGACTTTCAGTTGTACGGAAATTCCTCGCTTTTGGCCCCAGAAGACTCCTCCCATGTTGCCTCTATACCCACTATGCTTAAAGAAGCAGAAGACGAACTGGTGAGGCAGAGCAAAAACTCCAGTCAGCCAGAGGACATAATGGCTGTGGTACACCGTTTACGTTTCATGCGACACTTTTACCAGGCCATATATAGTTTTGATTGTGCCATGAAGTCGGTGGTGGATGAACCAACCATTAATGATATCTACAAGCACTTGAATGCCTCCCTTGAACTGACCCCGCAAATTAGAAAGACCATTGACATGGGAACCCAACCAAAGGCTGGATGTAAGTACATAATTGAAATATAGATAGAAACTGCCAATGGATAGATCTACTTTCTTGCAGCTGATTGCCCGAATCCGCTGGGATTTTCCCCACGGGTCCACGACAGAAGTCAACCACCAACTTTTCCCCGCAGTGTCAAGATGAGAGACCGCCCGTCCAGTATTACATTTCTGGAAGAATTGGTTCATCGGCTGAAATATGCCTGCAAAATTATACGTATGCGGGACTACTATTCGAGTTTGGTAATTTTTTGTCGGGTATTTGAAAAGTGGTTGTTGTTAATCTCTGCTCCCTTTTACAGAACTTCTTTATTGATTTTAGCCGTAAGTCTGGACAATGTATATTGTCTCGAAGCGTTCTACAGGGGCTGTTCTTAAGCTGCAGGCGTTTAGTATTTGGTACCATTGCATTTAAGGACTTCTTGTGGGACTCGGTGAGAGCTTTCACTTCGCCACCGATTCTAAACCCCAAAAACCCATTGGCCACCGATTGTGAAATTCAAATGAACTTAAATTCGTTCTTTCGCTATTGTGTCAGCACATTTACACAATTCTTAAGAATTTGCGGTTTTAATAGTGCCCGCCAACGTGATAAGCTGGGCAGATTCATCGGAAGTTTCGATCTGATTCAAGTGGAAGCTGCCCGGCTCGATTCCTACCTCAGTATGTTGGCAAATGAGAAGTTAGCCGAAGGAAATGAAGCTGCCGCCACAACGCTCAAGTATAGCGCACAATTCGCAACGTGGGTACTGTACAACTGCTTCAGGGCCATGATGTTATATCTGATGTCGGGATTCGAATTGGAACTGTATTCAGTTCATGAGTTCATCTACATATACTGGTATGTGAATTGCAAGCTATTTATAAACTAGTGCACGCAGTCAGTAATTTCGTTCGTTCTTCATTCGTAATTAGGTATCCATATGAGCTTTTGATTGGTTTTATTGTTTCGGCGTTAACACGAACGGAAAATAACCTATTGGCCCAAGAGGAATATGAGCGGGAACAGCAGAACGCAGCCGGAAGCGCGACAAAGAATCGCAATAAGCCAAAGCCAAAAAAGAACAAGAAACAACAGAAACCATACCGACAAGAAATCTTCTACTATCATGCCCTGATGAGTATGTGTGGTGGTTTCTACAAGGCAATGGGTGCCTTGACCAAGGATGGTCGTATACGTCAACCTATGCCTAAGTTCGATAATGAGGAGATTCGTTTTAATCGTCGTTTCGCACCATTTGCCAATTTGACATCACCCCCTCCGGTTTCATATGAAGAGTTCAAGAATATACGCGAACATATGATGCGACCCCCGTCATCTGAGATTTACGCAATAGCTGCTAAGCATTTTGACCGAGCCCGAAATGCCTTGGAGTCTATACAAAATCCAGAGCAAGAGGTATGCCCGCATTATTTCTCATATAAACGGAATTTTTTGTAAACTTCTGTTGTTTTTAGATACTCGACATGCTGCAGGTGGCTAAGGTTAATTATGTCGTCATGAATGTGCTAGCTAAAGGCCATCAAAAGGACACCAAACGACAGCCGGAATTCGACTTTTCGAAACATCGTCATTTTCCAATAATCAAATTGAATTAATAATCAGTAACGAAATTATGAACAGACATGATCTTTATTGCATAATAAACTACTAAATGACTAAAGGTTCTTCTTGTCGCTATCTACTACGATATCCTGTTTTATGACAAACTCCTCTGTGTAGCCTTTTCCCTCTGGCAGAGGACAACTTTTGGGACACGTATAAACGGCTAAAACTCCCCAATCCAAGTTTGAATCAGCCAGATAGTTTAGCATTTGTGGCATTATTTGAAATTCGTATTCGCGTGGAGAACCACAAATGCTGCATGGTGGTATGTTGTCAAGCGTTTGTTTTATTTTATCCGTGTTTGCTATCCACAATGGTGCACCCTTTCGCATATATCGGATAACTTGTCTCGGAGCTTTGGCGCACTCCTTTCGGAATTTACGAAAATCTTTATCATCGACTTCTTCACATCCGCTTGTATACTTTTCCAACTCGGACTCGGGCAAGTTCTGGAACTGACCTGCTTTTCCCAAACTAATCAGCTTGTCTAACTCCTGCAACTGTTCTTCTTCATTCACTTCAACTTTACTGGAGTTTTCGTCAACATCGGCCACACTTTCATCGTCTGGATTCATACAAATTTCCAGTTCAGGAAAAATAACTTCCTTAATTGTGACTTCGGGGGCTGATTTAATTCCCTCGGCATTTTTCTCCGCAGAACACTGAAGTTTGTGATATTTCCAATGAAGGCGCTGATGTTCAGGTCCACAATAATTAATTTTTCTGCAACGACTACACAACTGTGTACCAAGGCAACCGCACGTTGCACATAATTTTGTTGTGGGTGGCAGTACTTCAGGCTAAGGGCGAGGAGAAAACGTTTGATATGAATGGTAGAAGGTACATAACTCGAATAAGTAAAAACTCACTGCTGCTACTCCATCATCCGGTGGTATTTCGGAATAAAAACTGTTGCGCATAGGTAGTTGACTGCGCAACGCAGTTATACACTGGTCATTATCATTGGCGACATAGCACGATTCAGTCCGACAAACGAAAAGAAAAATTGTTCTATGGAAATTATGATCATCCTCAAATGGCGCATAAACCTTTTCGAGAAAATAAAAAACTTTAATAACATTGTTTTGTTCATTTGTCCATTGGAATGTTCAAAATTACTTGACAGAGAAAGCTCTTAGGCTTTCCACATTTCTGACAACGGAGGGTTTCGGTTTTTGGTAGATCTCCCAAATGTAACCAAGCTGGTTTCCCGCCGATCTTGCTGGGGAAATTGGCATTGGTCAACCATTCTGGCTCACATTCCTCGGCAAATCCCAAATCAATGTCAGACATATTTGCTTTTTGTATTTAATTTATAAATTTATATGGTCTTTGGCTTTGTGAGTGAGTTCTTTTTTCACGTGTGCCTATGACGTTTGTTTGTTTTTGTTTCTCCATTTCAATATGTGACACTTGATTTTTGTGCAGGGTTGCCATTATCGATATTACTAAAAGCGTCGCTATCAAGACTGAAGTAGAATTTGAAAAGTGATCAAAATTGGACTAGAATTAATTTGGTAGATGACTAGAGCCGTGGCGTGGATAGACTACATAGTTTAACTTCAAAGTTATAAGGAAAAATACTACCGAGTTGTATTTTTTGTGTCAAATGGTCTTTCAAAGCATTCAACTATTGGTTTTGTTTACAAATCAAATTTCTATCAAAAATTTTATTTTGGGGAAATGGAGTGTTGACTTATTTGCACAAAATTGCCTCGTAATAGAAGATCACTGTTTTATCCTTAAATTGTAAAATGTATTGCTCTGTTTCAGAACTTGCAAGGATGTAAAAATGTTACTGCGAAAACTTTATGATGTCGAAATAAAATGCAAAACTGGTAGGTTCTTGAAGATATCACATGTGTACGATTACGTCGTGTATTAGCTAGGCCTGAATAATTAAATTATGTATGAATGTGAAAAACACAGTCAAGGCGGACTTCCAAAAATTATGCTTAACTTACCACAGATAAGATGAGGTTTTTACATAAGTTGAAGTTTTTGAAGTTTTTTTTTTCGATTATCGGTTTAGATATAGCAAAGAGGGTAAACGGGGTATTTTTGGAACTTTTTCCCCCTATATATCGGGAAATATTGATTTTCCTCCTTTATCTCGCTGTGATTGGCATAACAAAACCTAACTTCGGTAAGAATATCAGAATTTTCAGCCTGTTGGGGTTGAACTCAATTTAAGCCAAAGTTTTCGAAGAAATGGAAAAATCAATCAAAATCAAATCAAAAATCTGCTTCGTGTCAGAATAATTCAAAATTATATTCAACAATTTGTTTCCATTTATGTGACATTTTTCCCGGCTTTTATAATGAGTTAAAAAGCGCAGAAATGAATGAAATGCCTGAATTTTCTTTCAAAACTGTTCAAAATTGTAATCAGCTGGTAGCTCCTCCTTACTTTCTTATGTTAACCCACAAAAACGCCAACTAAAAACGTTAACATTGACAACAGTTAATTTAATCTCTATTCGTCTCCCATCCATATTCGCACCCAATTTCCTTGTGTTCCGTCTTTCTACCCCATTCGCTGGTCACAATTCGCAAAAACAACCTGTCAAATGAGAGACACTGTCACAGTTGTGTGTAAAAACAACAGATTCATTGAAAAGAAATATACGACGCGACGTACGCACATCCAAATCCAATACATATAATTTCGTAAATACAAGATTCAAGAAAAAGAAATCGATCGAACCGAATCGGATCGGATGAAAAACGTAATAAACGGCAGAATTTCACAAAAAGATTAACAAAATCAAGTGTGTGAGTGTGTCCCGTGGACGGAGGAATGTGTCACCAAACAATGCAGAAAGAACGGAAGTGAAAAGCGATTAAAAGCACTACGCCAGAAATATCCCTCTCACAGGGGTGCTACAAAGACGACGAAATGAAGTTTTAAAAGAAGGAATTTATGCAATACGACGATTTTTTTATAGGAAAAAAAAAGTACGTAGAAAAATGTTGGTACAAAAGACTCGGCGTGTGTGTGTCTGTTGTTTACATTGATTTGCATTGGGTAATGTCACAATATTGCCCACACATGCCCATAGACGGCACAGAGGGGGAGGGGAGAATGGCTAGTGATGACCATTAGTGCTTAATGCCAGGAATTGCTTAGAAATGCGACGGCATATATGTGTGGTGAGGTGAGGTAGGCCTACTGCAATCAGTTTCATACACTAGTGTCGCCCAAACAACGCAACAACCTCTGCGCCCTTTGAATTCATAAGCAGATGGGGTTTCGACTGTCGTATTACTCATTGCTGCCTTCTTTGTTCGGCACAGCGCAGATTGTAGTGAAATTATTAAAAATAAATAAAAAAAACAACAAATATCGAAAATAATTTAAGACATTTGATTACGCAAAGAAGGTTTCGCCTCGTACCTTTCACAAAGCATTTCTTCCTTTCATGCTTTTGAGATTTTGTCGATGCCTTGCCTTCGGTGCCCCCACTGTTTATAAATAAAATGTAGAGCAACCTGCTCTGTCACAAGAAATAATCTCAATATTTTTCTGAAAATATGGCCGCTGCCTGCCAGTGTGCCTTGAGTGGTGGTGTGAGCGGGTTTATTTTGGTCACATATTTTCATACAAATGTACGTTCCTAATGATGATCCCATGAATGCAAGCATGAGCCCTAATTTTCTCCAATTGAAACATTGCCAATTCTGATGTTGTGGTGTTTTGTTTGATGACGAAATGACCACAGATGGATGACCGAGAGAATATATTAGTGCCGGCTATTTATACATTTGTGAATTTATTTATTTTCCATTCGTTTCGATTTTTTTTTGCGTGTAATAATCGGGCGCTGTGGACTAATTTTTCAGAGCACAATTTAAAGCTGTGGCACTTGTTAAACCAACCCAACATCCTTAGTAAAATGGGGAATTCCCTTTCTATAGGTAGCTCCGTTGTGGAGAGACATTAATTGTTGGAATGTGTGGGCAAGCATGATGAATAAGAGAATTATTATTTTTATTTTGTACTTTACACTTAACAAAATACAGATTTTAATTTTTCCCGTCTGATTGCAGCGAATCCACAAACTAGATCAACTACAGACACCATATAAAAGAACGAGCGGGCGAAATGTCGGATTTCATGCCACGAGATATTTTACCCGATTTATGGGAGGAAATATTGAAACGCCATTGGACTTACTTGGAGACTGAGGAAAGCATACAAAAACTGGAAGAACGCAAAAAGCTAGAAGGTAAGGCGGAGAAGACCAAATACATTTGCAATGAATAAATACAGATTTTGTTCTATTTATCATTTTAGGATGCTTAAAGGAATTGCTGTGCATTGTGCGACATGATCGGAAGTTCTTTTTGCCGGAGACAGCCATGGTATTGAAGAACTCAATACGAGAATTAAACGATTTCAATGTACAGAAGGCCATAGGGGCCTTCGAGGCCATCAGCCAGTATGCAAATAACTTATTCACTAAACCATGGCGTAAGGAGTTTCGCATACTAAAGGTTTGTAGCATTTTTCTGCTTTTGTTTTGCATTGTTTCTAATCAGACCCATATTATTGGAAATTGCAGATGTATTCTGGGTTTTTTCAACACGAAATTCACTCGAACTTGATTGATGCCGAAAAACTCTTTGAAGCCATGGGTTATCGTCGTCTGTCCGATGATACATTGATTCTAGATGGTCCCATCTGCCCGGACCAGGTTACCAACGTGTCACGAGATGCCATGGCAGCCTATGTGGAATTGCAAATAATGAAAAACATCTACATGGCCTTAAATGGGAATAACATGACGACTACATGGTTGGATATCTTCCGCTATAGGGAAAAGAATATTGGTAAGGTTATTGCATTTTCCAAGTTTTGGAGCTGGTTTCATTAACAACAACTTCTTATCCTTCTTCAGGTGGCATTTCCCAGGCTGTAAAAGATTTAATTTATGCAACAGAAGAAAAGCGTTATCGGCTTCGAGAGAAGGCATTGGCTGGTGGCAGTGGCGATAATTATGGCTACATTGATGTTCAGCCTTCACCGAACTATGCACCATTACCTCCAGCCTGCCAATGTGGTGGAGGAGCAGGAGGTGGTGGTGGCAGTATTCAATATCAAATTCCCCAACCTCCGAGACAAAGAATTGCAAATGGTCCCTGCTGTGCACATGAAATGCAACGCAGTCATCCCGATGCAGTGTTTGGTAATATGAATTATTCCAATCATAACTTCCATCACTCCCCGTCGGGTATTGGAAGTGAAAATATAAGTCATCTACCTCACTCGAGAAGTCTGGAACACTATAGCGAACCAGCTAGCATTCATCAGCACAACATGTTGCCGCATCGGCATTCATTTGATCATCAGCAGCAAGGCTGCACGGCGGCTGGCCATCACCAACATCAGAGCTATGGCCCAATGCAAAGGTTACATCATTCGATTCAACAGCAACACCAATACTATCGCAATCCTGCTCAAAACTTCTATGAATCCCCATACGATATAATTGATGACACATCGATGGGAGGTGGCAGCACCATTTCGTATGCAGCAGTGGCCGCGTCATCTGGACCCGATAATCCCGCATCCAATAATTCCAATCTCTATAATGTATCTGGAAATCGCTACCCCTTACCCTACAATATATCTAATCAACTATCGGCCTACGATAAAATTCCCCCACATCCCGCATTCGAATCCTCTTCATACGGCCCGGACAATCACATGTATGCCCAGGTATCTAAAATGCCACAAGGATACATGTTGAGTTCATCGGGAAATATGATGGGATCTGGAGGAGGCTATGCTAAGCCAATGCAATCCTCAGCCTCAGATCAACTGATTGATTTCGAGGATCCTCCCATTATACCTCCACCTCCAGCTGGGCAATTTGATCCCTATCATCAGCAGTATCAACACCATGACGCAATGAAGGCGAAACGTAATAGCAAAATGTACGAAAGTGATTACAGTCAAAAGAGGGATCAGAACTACGCTAGCAATCCAGCAGATATGTATGTCTATGCCAAACCAATACCAAAGGATAGTCGTCAGGGCCACAAAGCATCTGCCCATATTTCCAAAAAGCCGCCATTTAACTCTTCTGAACGAGTTGGGGGCGGCGATTCGACCGACTTCAGTTATGAGTCTGCCAACGATGATTTCTCGAATATTCACAGGCAACATTCGCCGACCCAATTTAGCAAAAACCAGGATGGAGTCGGATCATTTGAGTCGTGGAATTATGTTTTCAAAAATCTCGAACGTTCGGCCTATTCAAAAGACCTGGGCGATCGGGAGGATTTGTTGGTGAAGTCTATAAATTTGGATTCACTTAACATAGCTAACGATTCGACAACACCAAGTCAAACAAGTTCGGTGGAGAAGCGCAGACCGATCCACAACAAGGAGCTCGAAAATAATCAGACTGCAATGCCTGCCAAGCAGGATGTCAGCACATCTCCGCCAAACAATAGTAGTAGTAAGCAGCAACAGCAGCAGCAGCAGCAAAAGCCTCAGATGGACAATAAACAAAAAATGAAGTCGGCACTGAAACAGTCTTCTGCTGTTAGTAACAACACCAAACAAACAACCACTAGTAATAAGAAGTCCACAAATTTTTCCAAAGCTAACGACAATAAGAGCAAGGCCAACAGCAATGATAACAACAATTCGGTAATCAACAACAGCGTCGGTAGTGGTGCCGGTAGACAGACCAAAAAGGCTTCCTCCGTCTCATTAAACTCCACGAAAAGGAGCGCCTCCGAAGGAATGGCGACGTCCAGCAGTGCGTCGGCGAATAACCCTGCCTCGACGCAAATTATTGTAACCGGCACAAATGAATGGAGTTGTCGCTTTTGTACATTTATCAATCCCGACTCAACGCGAATTTGTGAAATTTGTTGTCGTACCAAGGACAATAATTTGAACGCTTCCTCGAGCAGTGGAGGCACAACACAACAATCCGTGAACCACACAGCGCCAACATGTGTCTAGAGAAGTGAATCGCTCTGCTAACCCTGCTACTCTGCATAACTATTTTATAAATATGTACCTGCTGCTATTTCTTCTACAGATGAATGGATACCCGTTGGTTTTTTGGGAATATGGTTTCTTGTCATCATCACCTCCAGTCTCTCGCTCCCTTTCCAGCCCCCCCAAACTCCCCCGGTAAACCAAAATGACAAATTGCTGTGGTGTGGTGGTGGTGGTGTTCGTTAACAGAAGGAGGCGAGAAAGGAAAACTACGAATTTGATCATTTCACTAAACCAGCATAAAAGGACTGAAGAATTTATTTAACGATAGTAAGAAAATGTGTGGCAATCCTTTACTCTACAACAAATAACTTAATAAGAGATAACAACAAAACCAGGCTTTACAACATACACTCTATATTTTTGAATTCTATCAAAGTACTATAACAAACCAAAAACAAAAACACAACAAAAAAAGCAAAGCAAAGCCAGACAACAACTGATTTCATAATGAATATTTATTATACAAAATTTGTGCGACTAGAGAATGACTACTAGAAAAAAAGAAACTTCATGAATTTTGGAAAACAAATATTGTAAATTTCGAAAGCTTTTACGGATAAATTGTTTTATTGCAATAGCAATTTGTGAAGTTGAGGGCATGTAAATAAATAAATAATAAAAACAAGAATATGATCGCACGAACATTTGTCATTGTGTCATACATGCAGGTGTATTTTTATTTGGAAATGGAAATGCATATTAAAAATTATTGGTAAATATTTTACGCCATTTTCAAAAAGATTTTTGTACTTTAATTCGATTAAATTGTATTTGACTTGAACTTTATGTGGAAAATAATGTAATATTTGGCCCCAGTATTTATGTTTTTCCAATGGAATGCACTTGTGCGTATGAAAAGAGAAGCAGTTTGAAGTCTTATTACTTAGTCTTAAATCATTCAATAGAATTAATAATATTACTACTTACATACTTACATTAAGTGTATGTAGGCGGTACGTACATTAATAAAATTATAAAGATAAGTTTCCACGAGAAACAAAGTGTGCCTCCCTGCGTTTATGAATATTAGTTTTGATTTGTTGTTGTTCGCATTGTTTTAATTACCTGTGAATATACATACATTTATGTATAAAAAAAAAAAACAAATATATAAATATTATTTTGGTTCTGCATTGTTTGTTTGTCATAACGAATCTGTGTTATAGCGAAAAATCTTTACCCAAAAGATGTTGAATTGTTTGATGTCAACCCGTCTTTAATTTTTAAAAATACATACAAATACATATTTATTTAATTCAAACAAAAGGAAATGTATTTTTTTTATTATTTCATGTTTCCCAATAACTAACAAAAAGAAGTGGAATCCTATCGAGAGAAGGAAAGAGAAACAAAACCTACTTGTATTTCACACGCCAATACAGGGTGAGATAAAAAACTGCAACATAGTCAAATGCCATAATTTTTACATTTTTTTTTTTAAATTTTATTGAATGAAAACAAAACATGTCGGAAATAGCATCAAATTTTAGAATAAGTTTAGATTTGTTCGAATTGGTCACCTTTGACACGAATTATGGCCTTCAAACGGCCAATCACACCCTGCCCGAATGTTGCTCTGCGGTATTTTGGCCCATTTCCGGCGAAGCGCTTGTTTGAGGTGATCGACACTTTGGTATTTTTTTAGTGCCAACCATGCTTTCCAAAATACTTCAGAAACAATAGTCCAACGGCTTGGTATCCGGAGATTTTGGAGGCCATTGTGCACTGGAAACGAAGCGAGGAACCTCATTTTGTAACCATTCTTGGGTGGTGCGTGCTGAGCCCTGTTGGAATGTCCAAGTCTGCGGCCAAAATGTTTGCATGCCCAAGGCTTTAATACACCCTCCAGAATATTTTCGCAATAATATTCGTCATTTATTCTGATGCCACAGCAGTCTGAAGTTGGTTGCAGTTTTTTCTTCTTACCCTGTATATATTAACAGTAAAATTGTACACCAATCTACTACTTATTTATTTATTAGAAACGCTTAAAAACAAAAAACACGTACATTTTTAGAAACAAAATAGCAAAAATGTCACCGAAAAAAATCTCAGCCTTCCCAAAAAAAAAGAATGTTGCCAACACTTTGTGTGAATGAAAAACTTTTGGTTTCGATGGATCCTTAACCAGCTGTGGGTTTTCACTTTATGTTTTCCGTTTTTTTTTCTCCCGAAACATAATGGTTGTTAATCACCTCAAGACAGAATTGAAGAGTGGTAAAAATATTTGATAGGAAACAAAAAATGTATCATTGATTGAAAAGAAATAAAAGAATTTTGAACGCTTTAAGTATTTTTTAGATTAAAGTAAAACAACGGTTTAAGTATTCACTGAGGAGATACAGAAGAAAAGGACGAATATGTCTTTATATATCACCCTCTTATATAATATGTACGTTTATAAATCTTACTCGGTTATATAAATAGATCAACACACACACACATACCAACACAATTCTCATAATAAAGACATTACAAAAATATATCCTTCAGATGCTGGAGAAGTTTTTTGTTTTTTAAATTAAACAAGAAATGCGCACGTACCTGAAAGAAGAAATGAAAAAAGAAATTTGGTAAGTAAAGTAAATAACATGGTTTAAAAATAATAAATTTATTCATTATATTAGTCTCATGGCCTATCGATCCTACGTAAACACATGTTTGCTGTCAAATGTGATTTGAAATTCATAGAAAGTCTAATCACAACTGTGCAAAAATTGTTATGTCTGTTGTCAAATTGTTTTCGAAAGTAGTCTTCTTGTACGACCTTATGTAGGCCTTGATTAGTCTTGTCCCTGAAATGACACTGTTTTTATTGGCAAAACGAGAGGTGAAAGAAATTTAAAATTTCAATGGGTATAAGTTACACTTGGCAGCTTTTTTACATTTTTTCATTTGCCAAAATTAAATGGGAACGGTGTCAGGCTTATATAATTCTCAAACATTTTCTAAATTTAATAACTCTAAACGCGATTCGTTTTAATTTCCACACATATTTTTATACATTTTTTATACCCCCAGCCATATGGCTATAGAGGATATATATCATTTGATACGGCCAAAATCGTCATTAAGACAACATTTTTATTACTTAAAAGTATTTTGAGAGTGTTTTAAAATCTCAGTTTCCATAAAAATACAATTTCACTTGCAAAAACAAAAGTGGTTTCAAATCGATAAAATGTTGCGAATTACATTTTCTGAAGAAGCTAAAAACAAAATAAAATCACTTTCGTAGCGAATTCATTCTTGTTCGGAGATGGGCAAATCGGGCCACTCCTTCTGGTACCTCCCACACAAAATATTAAAATTTTCAAAGAAAATAATTTACTGCACAGAAAGAGAAAGGATAATCCGATTTTGTTCCAACTTTGCATATCCTAATATGGCCATTCCTTCTGGTACCACACCCACAAAGTGTTAAAACTTTGAATAACTAAAAAGATCATAAAATCCGAAATAAGCATCCGGTTCTCTTCAAATTACACACATCACAATATTTTTATTGAACCAAGGTCTGGTGTGAACATGGGATATATCGGTCCACACCTTCTGGTACCTCCCCTACAAAGGGTCAAAATTTTGAGTATCCTCGAAGCTCATTAAACGGGAAATTAACATCCGATTTCATTGAGACTTGACACATCTAAATATTTCCATCAACGCAAGATCTGTTATAAAAATGGTAGAGATCGGGCTAATCCTTCTGTTACCTCCCCCACAAAGGGTTAACATTTTGAATAACCAAAACGATTATAAAATCCGAAAAAAGCATCCGGTTCTCTTCAAATTACACACACTACAATATTTTAATTAGCACAAGGTCAGGTGTGAAGGTGGAATATATTGGTCCACTCCTTCTGGTACCTCCCCCACAAAGGGTCAACATTTTGAATATTCATGAAACACATAAAACCCAAAAATTAACATCTGATTTCATTGAGACTTGGCACATCTCAATATTTCCATCAACGCAAGATTTTTTTAGAAAGATGGTAGAGATCGGGCTATTCCTTCTGCTACCTCCCCACAAAAGGTTAAAATTTTGAATAACCAAAACGATCATAAAATCCCATATAAGCTTCCGGTTCTCTTCAAACTACACACATCACAATATTTTTATTAATCCAAGGCCTGGTGTGAAGATGGAATATATCAGTCCACTCCTTCTGGTACCTCCCCCACAAAGAGTCAACATTTTTAATGTTCATGAAGCTGATAAAACGAAAAATCGAAAATAGCGTCTGATTCCATTCAGGCTTGATACAACTCCATATTTCCGTTAACACAAGATCTGTTATAAAGATGGTAGAGATCGCAACATTTCTTCTGGTACCTCCCCCAACCACATAGGGTCCAAGATTTTGAAAATTTTCAAATTTCCCCCATACAAACATTTTTGGTAACACAAGATCTGTTGTGAAGATGATATGCATCTGTCAACCCCTTCTGGTAGCTCACCCACAAAGGGTCACAATTTCCAATACTTATATCTGAAATATCTTGCGAAACAAATCGGCGATTCTATACAACTTGCAATGTCTAAAAATTTATCTTAACCAGAAGTCTGATATGAATATGTAATTTGTCGGAATTTATGATTTCGCATAAAATCGCATATAAATGTTCGATTTCCTTCATAGTTTTCACATACCAAAAATTTTATCTGAATTAGATGAAGTATGAAAATGGAATACTTCGGTCCGCTATATCTGTTACCTGACTAATATATCCCGTTTTCCAAAAATTTGCACATATCTCATATAAAGTACGGGGAGTAGGCCAAACCTGTCACGTTGTAATATTTTTATCAGTCTTAGGTCAGATACGAAGTGGTCAATATTGGCCAATATCCTCGGAACCTCCCCCATGAACAGTCAAGAGTTTTAATAATCATAAGTCAAGGCTGGGGTATACATCTGTCGGCAAAACCGACTGATACCATTTGACTTGTGTGATTTAGAAATTTATGATTCATAATCAAGATGAAACATTTTAGCATATTGTTTCCATGTAATACACAGCACTTTGTATAATTACAAAAGTGTGAATTTGAACATTTTCAAGTCAGAGTCGCTGAAGTATCTTTTTTTTTGCAATTAACATGTTTTTCATAAATCCTCAAATAGCGTGCTATGTCCATTTTATTTTAATTTCTGTATAGTTTTTTATTCTTTCGAAGCAATATATACATCGTATAATTGCTTTATGTCTTTCAACTATTTATTCTCGTTTAGCGATTATGATTTCATTACTTCACATGACATGGACATCAACATTTGGCAACCCTGAGCATCATGTGTTAATTTGAAATTAAGAGAAACATAATGGATCACACAAAGAGTAAACAAAACACTTGGGAGAAAAAACTAAAAAGAGAGGGAGAGATTGAAAACGACACCCATGTTAACAATCAAGCGCAAATGGTTTGTTGACTCTTGGCAACCACGACTGAATTGAAAATCGTTTCTATCGTCGACCCACCAACGTACGCCTCTTTAGCTCAGTGGCAGAGCACTGGTCTTGTAAACCAGGGGTCGTGAGTTCAATCCTCACAGGAGGCAACTCCAACTTTTTTACATTTAATGTATACTATTTTATGAAAATAAAAAAAAAAAAAAACAATAAAATAAATTGAAATTATTTTTAAAATAATTGCAATAATTTTTTCTCTATATTTTTTCCATCACGAAAATTGACTATTTTAAAATGAGGATGAGTTAGGCAGTTATTCCACTTCCCTGCATTACTTTTAACTAATTTTAAACTAACTACTTTTGGCCGATTTATAGTAAGCTCCACTTTCGTTTTTTTGATATTAAAATTTAAATTTCAGCAGATTTTCATATTATGTTATTTCTTTTTTATTTTATTTCTTTAACCTTTGTAAAGGTTTGGACTGGAGAAAAGTATTGCTTGATTTATACTGATAAGCTGTAAAAATGTTTTGTTTCAGCCGTTAAGCCTCTTTTCTTTACCAAACACGTCCAAAGTCATTGGCTAGAGCAATTCAACAGGCCCCGATTTTTCGGGCCCTATCCATCCTCATCGGATCTCTTCTAAACTCTCAGCATTGTATCTATAAATATCGGCAAGTGGGAATAGTAAATGTGAGTATAATTGGTACATCATAGGAGGGGTAAGGCGTGCGTGAATGTGTATTCACTTGTCGTTCTCTTTTCTCTGTAACGTCGAAACAACGGCCACATGCTGCCGAATTTTCTTTTCGGAAAATACATATTGCAGTTTTCATTTAAAAGTTGCGCTATTAATACGTCTTTTCTCCGGTAGTTCTGTGGGGTGGTGAGAATTTTCTTGAAACAAGAAAAATATATATAATTACCCTTTCGATAAAATTGGAATATTCCAATAGTTTTGAATTAAAAAAAATGTCCTCGTCGTTGGGTGAAAGAAATTATTTTGCCAGTTATTATGTTCAGCTGAAGAATAGTATTGAAAATTTCGACGAAGAAGTTGAAAAAATTGACCAGTGTAAAAATGATTTGGAACGCGTACGTTTTGTGGAGTCATTCAAGGGTCTCACTGACGGTCGGGATGAGGCATTGCAAATACGTCGTGAATTTCATGGTAAAAGTGCGGCAACGGCCCTAGACTACAAGGAAAAGGGCAATCTGGCCTTTAAGGCCCAAAAGTGGTTGGAGGCAATGGTGTTGTATACCAAAAGTTATGTGGCTCTGCCGGACGATAAAGGTATGGTGGAATGCATGTGGTAACAGTTTAGTTGGCTGCTCTCACGAGAGTGTGTTCTCATCGTGCATATCTCTCTCCATCTCATTTAGTGAACGAGAAGTCCATTGTTTTGGCTAATCGCTCAGCGGCCCTGTATCATTTGGAAAAATACGACGAGGCATTGATCGACATCAAGAGATCGCTGGATTATGGATATCCCAAGGATTTGATATACAAGTTGTATGAGCGCCTGGCCAGATGTTATATGGCCAAAAAGGATTATCCAAATACAATTAAATATTTCAAGTAAGTAACGACGTTTGGCATCTGAAAACAATTATTAGATGTTTAATTTTTTTATCCGCTGGGAAAGAGAATTGTTTACTTATTTTACATAAAATTCGTTGAAGGAAAGATAAGAAGCATAAAAGTATTATGTTTTCAAAAAACAACAAAAATTGTTGCAACTTTTTTTATTGGGAATCCGACAGAAGATTTTACATGGGAATGAATATTGAGATGTTCAAAGTTTAAAAATATCAGATATTCATTTCACATTTTTAGAGAGTTGAAGTTTTAAAACATTTGGTGCGATAGACTAACTAAAGAAGGGGTCCCATCTTCATTCGAGATTTACGAAAGTGAACTCCGAAGAAAAACCAGACCGGACAGAAATATATTCGCCGCCAAGGATCAATGATATTCTTAACAATTACCCATACCACCGAAAATGTTCATAGAACTTCTCTGTCTTACGCTCCTCGGGCTTATACCGCAATTTCCACAACCTCTCAACAATTTCCACATAAACCTCTTATTTCAATTTTTCAGACTAATGATCACCTCTATGGATGACGCCAAAAATTTACCGGCATCGCGAAAATCTCAACTGAATACCGTGGCCATGACAATGATCAAAATGTTGGAACGCGATCCACGCACTACCAAGCAGATGGAGATCCGTAAAAAGAAAGGTTTGCCCGAAGAAGTTCCGCTATCGCTGGCCATTGCTGATGAAAAAGAGTTTATCAGCGATGCCATACGTTTCGATGAGAATCGCAGTGAGGGTCGTTTTGTGAGGGCGGCCAGCGATGTTAAGGTGGGCGAAGAGATTCTGGTGGAGAAACCCTTTGTGGCGGTTCTTTTGGAGAAATTTGCCAAGACTCATTGTGAAAACTGTTTCATAAGGTTAGGCATATATTATGATAAGGTATCTTTGCCATAAATCTCAACTTGGTTTGGCTTTTCCAGAACTGCAATTCCCGTGGCCTGTCCCAATTGTGCTGACGTTGTCTACTGCTCGGAGAAATGTCAAAAACGTGCTGCCAAATCGTATCACAAATATGAATGCGGCATTTTGCCAACCATTTGGAGTTCCGGAGCATCCGTAAATTGTCACATGGCCCTGAGAATTTTGACCAGCCGATCTGTGGAGCACTTCTTGGAGGTCTATGACAAGATCGATGAGAAGCTCACAGCCGATGAGATTCAAAAGTAAGTTGGAAAACCTCTCTTTTGTGCGTAGCCAAAATTTCCACTAATCTCTGATTCTCGACAGGATTCCCAAGGATGATTATCGTCGCATTGCCCATTTGGTTAGGCATGAGGATGAACGTACCGCCTCGAATTTCTTCCAACATGCCCTGATGGCACGTTTCCTGATTAAATGCCTGAAGACTGTCAATTATTTTGGTGAAAAGCTGAATTCGGAAGATATTCTTAAGATTGAGGCAATTGCTTTGAGAAATCTCCAATTTTTACAATTCAATACCCACGAGGTGGCTGAGCTGCACAAATCGCAAAGGGATGGCAGTGAAAAGACCGAGTTCATTGGTGGTGCTTTGTATCCAACATTGGCTTTGTTCAATCATTCTTGCGATCCGAGTGTTGTGAGGTAGGTCAATGGGAGGAGGGCTGCTCAGGGGGTTGGGATTTCAGCTGCCAATCGGATTCATGTTGTGCCGCTCTTTAGGGGATTCAGATTGGGACCCTTTTTCGAGAGTTTCCTAAAATTCCGGCAGTGATAAAGGATTTTGCTTTGATTTTTAGAAAAAATCCCAAGGCTGTTAACTTTTCCATTACATTTCCAGATACTACCGCGGTACAACCATTCACATTAACATGGTCAAGCCCGTCGAGGCTGGTTTGCAGATTTGTGAAAATTACGGCCCCATCTACACCCAGGAAACCCGAAACGAACGCCAAGCCAAACTCAAGGATTTGTACAAATTTGAATGTTGCTGCGATGCCTGTTTGGAGAATTGGCCCACCTTCGACAAGTTGCCCACCGATGTCATCCGGTTCCGCTGTGATGCACCGAACAAATGCAACGCCGTCATTGAGGTTCCACCCAACTGCAACGATTTCATGGTCAAATGTTTGACCTGCAATGAGAGTACAAATATTCTCAAGGGTCTGAAAGTGATGCAGGTGAGTGCGATCTGAGCGATCGATCTGGGACTTTGAACTTGTTATTGAATTGAATTTTAAATTTTTCCAGGATACTGAAATGATGACGCGTACTGCCAAACGTTTGTACGATACGGGTGACTATTCGAAGGCCCTGAATAAATATGTGGATCTTATTAAAATCATGTCCGAAGTTCTGGCTCCACCATTTCCCGACTACTGTCAGTGCCAGCAATTCCTTAAAGATTGTTTCCTACATCTGGGCAATTTCTATAATTTGGATTGAGTTTAGTTTTGGTTCAATTTTATTATTTTGTCATTAATTTTTCTGGCGGTAATAAAGGAATTTGAAAACGATGAAGGAGAATGTGAATTCAGGAGTATGCCACGGGAACCATTCTCTGAAAACTCATTACTGAACTAAATCCCATTATGTCCATTGTAAACTAAGTATGTTTTATGAAATCTAATGCCAATGGCGTTCGGTAATTTTAAACTAATAACAAATTAACGAAAAGAAATTGAGTGTAAAATCTGTCACCCGATCCAATTATGGACCATGTCAAAGAATGTTAAATCGAGCAGTTAAACGGTTATCAACTTCATTAATCACATCCATCAAGGGAACGCGCCGGCAGTCGACAATGGCGTAACGAACGACCGGTCGACCGACAGACCATATGTGTATCTAAATTTTGTGCACTGTAATCACACAAATAAATCAGATCTACCAAATTGATACAAAGGACGGGACGGATGGATGACTGGATGAACTGATGGTGTAGTGAGGGACGAACCGAGACGAGGCACAGAAGCCAAACCAAAATCAAAGACATAAAATGTAATGATCGAATCGTTAAATTGAAGTGACAGATTACATGAAAATTAAATCGTGTGCCAGCCAGACAGACAGACAGCCAGCCACCATTTGGAGAGAGCAACAACAAAACCGTCAACCACCGCTCTTTGTAATCCAACCTCAACCAGCCAGCCAACCATCCATTCAACCGGGGCGAGGCAATTGTCATCAACTCAACACAAAACGGCAGCTGTACTCTTTGATCTATGAAAAATTATCACAGAACGTGTAAAAAAGGGTCTATGGATAGTTCTCTAGCCGAGGGACGGACGGACGGACGAACAGTTTGTTGCTGGCGTTAGGAGGAGGATGAGATATTGACAAAAAAAATCCCACCCTTAAATATTACAACAGAAAATCCTTTTAATGATTTGTTGTAACTGTATTTTCCTTGGATGCCTTGCAGACATTTGGTGAAACTTTTTGTGATTTGCATTGCACCATTGAAGTGGTGTGTCTCTGCGTTTGTGTGTGTGTGCGTGTCTGTACTTGTCCATTTACAAATCTAAAGGCATAATTTTCCTTTCTTTTTTGATAAACCACTTATCCTGTTTTTTGCTAAGTGAGTGTGAAAACCGTTAGATCTTTGGCACTGATATGAAAATTAGCATTTGGAAACTCGATATTCACTTTCAAAAAAAAAATATCAGTCTTTCGAAGGAGTATTAGAAAGGATTCAGGATTTTTTGCTGAGGTGTAAAATATACATTGGATAGAGAATTTTGAAGCAAAGCATAAAAATCGGAATGTATTTTTTTCCCTGTGCCTTAAACCGCAACTTCCACTTTTCGTAATAGTTTTAAGATTTTGGAATCATAAATTTTGACTCCTTATTTTTATGTAAACCAATAATAAGAACGAAAGTCTATGAGAAAGAGAAAAATTAATTTAGAGGATATTTTCAAATTTTTATTGAAACATAGAATATTCCTAAATTTAAACAAGTTAAGAAGTAGCAGTTGATTTTTGCCGACGGATGTATACCCCCAGCTATTGTCCATTTATTCATACATATTTTGGCATCGGTATTTATTATTCAAAATGTTGAACCTTTATGGGGGAGGTTACGAAGGAGTAGGTCAATATTGTTCAACTCCTCTGATATAAGTCTGATATAAATATTTTAAGGTGCCATATTTGGACTATATATCGACTATTTATTTCACTTGATACGAGACATGTGATAATTTTTATAGAGTGCTAAAAGGTGCGTGAAGTGCCAGATATAGTCTATCGAAGTATTTCACTTCATCTAATATTAATAAAAATATTAGGACCTGCAAAATGTAAAGAAAACCGAGCATTTATTTTTAATTTTGTGTGAATACAGGGTGAGATGAAAAACTGCAACCAACTTAAGAATGCTGTCATTTCTAAGCCACTCGTCCTACAGCTATTAAAGTTATTCCAGTGGCAAGCGTACAACAGCACTTTGGTGATAATTTTCCAGAAAAAAATTAGTCGTGATTGAATTCAAGCGTGATAGTGTGATTTCTTTATATTTGGCTGGAAAACCACAAGTGGCTATCGTTAAAACACTCCAGCATTTTAATGTGAATAAATCTTTTGTGTCTCGTACCACCCCTTGTTACCGTGATACTGGTAGCGTAGCCCGACGTCAAGGAAGTGGACGGAAGAAAAAAGCAACATCAGCAGAAATGGTTCGAAAATTTAAGAAGCGATTTGATCGAAACCCGCGTCGCAGTGGCCAAAAAAATGGCTTGTGAGCTGAACAGATCGCATTATTCCATTCGGCAAATATTGAAAAATGAGCTCGGGGTAAAGCTATTAAAATGTGCAAGAACTAACACCGCAACAGAAAGAAAATAGACTCAAAAGAGAGTGCTTCGCCGGGAATGGGTCAAAATACCGTAAAGCAACATTCGGGTAGCGTGTAACGGTTTCATTGGCCATTTAAAGGCCATAATTCGTGCCAAAGGTTACTGCTTCGATCTAAACTTATTCTAAAATTTGATGCTATTTCCGACATTTTTTGCTTTTAAAATTAAAAAATGTAAAAATTATGGCGTTTGACTTTGTTGCAGTTTTTTCATCTCACCCTTTATTGAGATGTGTGAAGTTTGAAAAGAATCGGACGTTTATATCGTCCGAAGGAGTGGATCAATATACCTCATCTTCACACCATATCTTGTGTTAGTAGAAATATTGAGATGTGTGAAATTTGAAGAGAGTCGGATGCTTATTTCAAATTCTATGAGACATATAATTATTCCAAATGTGGCCCCTTTGTGGGGAGGTACCAGAAGAAATGGTCCGATCTCTACCATCTTTACATCAGATCTTGTGTCGATGGAACTATTGAGATGTGGTAATTCTGAACGAAATCGAGTATTAATTTCGCGTTTTATGAGCTTCATTTTCATTTTAAGACTCTGTGGGGAGGTACCAGAAAGAGTGTACCGATATATCCTATTTTCACAGCAGATCTTGCATAAGTAGAAATAATAGGATATGTGAAATATGAAGAGAACCGGATGCTTATTTCGGATTTTATAATAGATTAAGTCATCCAAAACTTTGAGCCTCTGTGGGGAAGGTACTAGAAGGAATGATCCGATCTCTACCATCTTTATAACAGTTCTGGTGTTGATAAAATATCGGGATGTGCCGAGTTTTAATGCAATCGGATGTTAATTTCGCGCTTTATGAGCTTCATGGTTATTCAAAATTTTAACCCTTTGTGGGGGGAGGTACCAGACAGAAGCAATGGATCAATATACTCTATCCTCATGCCAGACCTTGGGTTAGTAAAAATATTGTGATGTGTGTAATTTGAAGACAAGCAGACTTTTACTTCACATTTTAAAAGAGTTATAATTATTCAAAATTTTGACCCTTTGTGGGGGAGCTACTTGATGGAAAGGACCGATATTGTCCATTTTCGCACCTGACCTAGCACTAATGAAAATATTAGGATTCGCAAAGTTGGAGCAAAATCCGATTATCCATTCTCTCTCTGTGCAGTAAATTATTTTCTTTGAAAATCTCGACCTTTTGTGGGGAGGGTACCCGAAGGAGTCTACCGATATTGTCCATCACCAAACTCGATCTAAGTTTGACAATAATATTACGATATACCAAGTTTGGATCAAGTTATCGTGCGCACCAACCAGACAGACAGACGAACTGACATCGCTAGATCGACTCCAAATGTCCTGAAACGGATTTGGCCCAAAGAGACCTAGTGTCTAAAACTGTTATTTCGATGAGGCACACTTTGGCCGCATCAAATGATATATGCTCTCTGTAGCCATATGGCTGAGGGTATAATTAGCATTTCCAATTTTACAACAATCCTCTGTTTTACTTTGTTCGCTTGTTGGAATAGAATTTGCAATCTTCTGATCTGCTAAACAGCCTAAACACTGTGTCACTTTTATGAACTTTAAGACTTGTTCGAAGTCTTACATCTATAAGTCATCGTGTCTCATTAAGTTTTTCTTCGTCGAGTCTCAAACTCGCAACCTTGGGTATAGTAGTCTCCCGTTCACACTTTGTGGCGATGTTACTCATTACTTGGTAATGAGAAAAGTAACTTATTTTGTATTTTCTGCTGGTAATGCTGAAGTTCTTGTTTTAATGGCTTCTTCGGCTCTTTAAGCCCTGAAGTTTAAACCCCGTATCTATAGAAACTTTGATCGGCAGTTCCAGCACATGAAAAATATCCTCATAGCCGGGGATTGTATACAATAATCTCACATGTCCAATTACAAATAACAACAACTACGCTTACTATTTGCATAATTTTGAATTATTACCCATGCCTTTCGATCTACTACATGTTCATTTTCCCCGTCGCTCCCCGGCGTATGTTATTCTGCCATAAATTTAATTTGACCATAATTCCGTTTTGATTCATTACATTCCGGTCCACTTTTAATTGTGTCGGCCAGGCAGCGTTCGCAGCATATTGTTTTCAAAGGAATTCTGGAAACAATGTAATCATGATTACCCCAGCGCTATATTTTAATTAAGGTTGTTCCGATCTTTGTTTGTTTTTGATTCTATAATGAATACGGCCAACATCCGTTGCACCTCAACTTGCCACCACCCCTGGCGCTAGCTGTGCCATTGACTTAAACCCCGTCAGTCAGTTGACTGTGCACTCTCTTGTGACGCAGTAGGCGACAAATGTAAATGGCGTTATCCTTTTTTTGACACTGCATCCCTTAATGTAAAATGTATTGTTGGACGGGGGTAAAGGGAATACAAAAACAACAACAGCAACGAGAAACCATGTTTACTGGTGTCCTTATTAGGTGTGCCTGTCTGTCCGCTCGTCCGTCCCTCGGCCTATCTGACAATAATAAATTATCAGATATGCCAAGCCAAACAATGGAGGAAACACTTGAATTTATTTGTATGGGATGATCCCTAATGGCCATGTCAATGTCGACAACAAATGCTAAAGTGCACCACTCCATTTTCCCGAAGCAGGCAGGCAGGCAAGCGGGGACCAA